CGTTCGTAGATTCACGAGACGTCCGATCGTCGGAGCAAGGGTTTCCGCATACAATGGATAGTACTCCTCTTCATCTTCAACATCGACGTAATGATAGTGAATTAGAAGCTCTCTAACATAATCGGCACGGGAGGGTACACAGTCCAGCGCGTAGGTGAACTTTTCTCCGTCGTGGTTGCGCAAGTACACTGACTGGTACAACATGCGCTCGACGAGCGGTCGGAGGCGCTGGCAGACCCGCGCGAGGCTGGCGAGAGAGCCACGTGAGGTCTGCGCCAAGATGGCTTCCAGAAGCTCTTGCGGTAAGTCAAAGATGTGCATGTGGATCAATTGATTCAGGTTGTCTTGGGAGTCTTGGAAAGATGAAGTTCGGTGGGAAGCCGACAAGGAAGGGGTAATTATTAAAAAGCGGGTTAGGCTGGGGGCGGTGGCTGATCCTACCAATTCGTGCCCTAACTTTTCCCGTTCGGATCCTTGCTGAGCCTCGCGGTTTGGCCCCAACATTGAAACATCATAGCCCCCAAACGTTCGGCATTGAAAGGGTCAAGAGCCATATACCGACAGATGAGGAAGAACGTGATGTCGCCAGCGTAGGATAAATACCTGCCTGGTCCCTGTCTGTATTTGCTGTCACCATCACACAACCAACTCTTGTACAATCATTTGAATTCCTTTTCACCATGGCTGGTTCAAAAGCTGTCGCTCTTTTATTCCTGTTGGTTAATCTAACCACAGCCTCTGTTATCCCACGTGGAGAGGCCTCATCGTCGGCGGTTGCTGCTAGCGCGAGCGCGAGCGCTGAGGCTTCCTGCTGGCGATACACACTCCCTACCACTCTCACGGAGGATGATATCGAGCAGAATGAGGATGACACCACCTCATCGACTAGACGGCGGGGTCTGAACTACTTTGATCGCCGCGATCATACCAAGACCGAAAAGCTCGGGACCTGCGACCTGGGGCAGACGATCTACAAGCCCAAATACTTTCGTTCAAAGAATATCCAAACTAGCCAAAACAAAGTTAGCGGTTATAGCTTCCTCGGGTACTTTATTCCCAAGCTAGACACCTGCGATGCAGCCGTTACGTTCACGACTATTGCAAATGCAGCTGACGTTTCGAAAACAACGGCTGGGTACTGGGATGATGTTGAGGCAAGTGCCCAACAAAAGTACCTCGATCTGGGAGCCCAGATCAACAAGAATAACCAGGAGATGCCACACATTAATGTGGATCATGTTTGTGAGTGGTCATTCGTTTTAGAGTATATGCATTATCTAACTATTTCTAGACGAGCTCCAAATCCTGGATGCCTTCTTGACGGCTATGATCGACGAGTACAAGTTCTGCGACAGTTTCAAAGACTGGTTCCTCACAATCGACTCAACCTTCAAAAACAAGCAAGGAGTGAATAAGCCCCGGCTTCAAAAGCTCTATAGTTACGTAAGTATCTATTCCCTGTTCAATCACCCCACATTGTGATGCCGGTGGCTAATCAGGATGCTAGTTGCCCGGTGAGACATATCCCGACTTGGTGGCCATGGACAGTCGTTTGAATTCGTACAAAGCACCTGTGAGTTCAATATACACTTTCCTCATTATCAGTCCACTCCGCTCGACAAGTAATAGCTGACCATCGGCTCAGATGTTCGGAAGCGAAGAGTTGAGCGGCATGGCTTCGGTCGACGGCACCGGAGACGCCCGCCAGGGCAGCGCGCTGAGCATCATGAACACTCTGGCAGTGGTTGTCTCAATGCTCCGTGACAACAGCGTCGCCACCTACTTCAAGAACGCCAACACCCGCATGTATAAGGCTTTTCTTGGGATCGATGACCTCATGAGCCAACAGAAATCCTGCAACCAAGACCTCGACCTCCCGCAACCCAAGAACGGCTGGGCCAGTGCATACGAAAGCTGGATGGATAAGTTCCTGAGTACCCAGGCGGCAGCTGTTTCGACCCGTATCTCATCGGTTTCGGCACAAGTCACTAGCACCGAGGCTGCTGGGGCCAAGAATATCTACGGCAAGGCGCTCGATGCGTTCAATGAGAAGTACCCTACTGCATCATGGAAATGGGACAACGGCAAGCTGCTGGACTGGAGCGCAACTGACGGCACTGCCTTTGCCAAGCGCGATGCCTCGTCAGCGGCTGTCTGCACGCCTACTGCTACGCCGTCCTCTTCGGCAGTCAAGTCCCACTCTGCTTCTAGCAAGGCCACGCCGAGCCAGACTGGAAGCGCAAACACAGCCTCGGAGACTGGTAAGTTCTTCAAAGACAGGAAGAAATCTATCGCTCGATGCTGATATGTCCTAGCTTCGCACACGGTCAAGTCCACCGTGACATCGACCTCGCAGAAGGCGACGATCACGCCTGCGACAAGCACTTCCACCAAAGCCGAGACCACAACCAAGAGCAAGCATGGCTCTGGGTCTTCCGAGGCAGCACAGACTACCAAGTCTACTAGCAGCAAGCCGAAGGGTACTGAGACCGCGACGACCAAGTCTAGCTCATCTTCGGCCAAGGATACCGCGACTATCACTAGCACCAAGACCACGTCGACGGCTACTCCTGACTCAAAGGATACGAGCACCAAGGATACCTCAACTAAGGACACTTCGACTAAGGATACCACTACCACGACTTCGACTTCGACAAAGAGCAAGGAAACCACCACCTCCACCAAGACTTCCACCACGACCAAGAGTACCAAGACGGCTACTAAGACTACTACCAAGTCTTCGAAGGAGACTAAGGATTCCTCCTCTTCTTCTTCGTCTTGCAAGAAGAAGAAGTGCAAGAAGGGGTAAGTAGATAGTATCCAAACAGGAAAAAAAATAATTTTGGCTAATCTGCGGTATAGAAAATGCACCTGCGTGTCCTAAATAGGGAGAAGTATTACCTAGGAATAGGAGATGCTGTGGGATGCTGATGGGGAGACATTCATGTATTTTATTCTTTAGAAGCTGGGATAATCTGTTTATTATAAAGGCCTTGTCTGTTTATATTATCTGTGAAGCTATACACGGTAGGATTTCTAAGGTAGGATTATCTTTGGAGATCAAATGGTCTGCATAATAAGGGAGACTCTACATACCTCATCAGGGAAGTCTGGCTTTGAAGCCAGCACTGCCCCTACCGCCTGTCGATTGTGTACATTTCTGCCTGAGACCGAAATATACTACCTAAGGCAGAATATTAATGCCTCGGGCACCAGGTACCTCAGATAGGCTCTAATGATTCGTTTCTAGTCCAGGAGCTTTGATTTTAAAACGGGTAGCAATGCGACTATGTGATAAATCTACAAACATTCACTAAAGTAGAATTCAGCGCAATGTCCCCTCAGCGGCTCCCGACCCAATATCCTAATCCTCCTCGGGCACAATGATGTTAGTCCACAAACATAATTGCTACTTTCTATTGGTGTGCGCGCTGTTTGTTGGATATCATCCAGTCTCAAGATGTTAGGTGACCGTATCGTTTGCGGTCTCAGATGCTTACAGCCCAGAGTGAAAGTTGGTGGAAGGTAATTGAAAGATTGGAAAGATTCATAAGACTTATGTTATGATAAACAATAGTGACTTTTACGTGCAACATGTTTTCATTCCCGAAGCTGCGCCTTCAATGATATGGATCTGTCATCAGCCTCACCTCACGATTTGTACCCCAAATTTGCGGACAACCAACCCAGAAAGCCACAACGGAGAGCTCAAGGCTAGGAGAAGCAAAATAAAAAGTGCATCTGTGCTAACATTGGCTCCAAATGGTTCGCCAAATATCTTTCCGCGTTGGACTTTTAGGTCTCGCTCTTCATGTTTCGTCAGAAGCAGAATGCGATTGATCTTTTCCATTCTCTCCTGCCACCTTTGACGGTATGTTTGCTCCAATATTTGAAGCTTTCGAGCTTTAGCCTCCATGATCTGTGCTTTTTCTTTCTGAACTTTACCAAGCTTACGTCTCAAGGACGCCTCGAGAGCTATCAATTGGGCCACTCGGCTTTCTTCTGTCGCCTTTTCTTTCTGTTTCTTCTTTTTCTTCTTTTTCGGCATATTTGACGGCCCTGCCTCAAAGGCAAGGATTCTCTGGCGCTGGTATAGTGGGGGCTCACCGCCCAAAGCGATGGTTTCAGTATGACGGTTTGGTATTCCGCTGAACTCAGTGTCGTCGGGATACCAAGTGACCTAACATTAGTCAGACTGTAACCCTGAAGATTTTCATTGAACTTGATAGTAAGTATGATTTCCAATCAAATATACCTGCTGGATGTTATATCTTGATGCAGCTCGACTTATAACAGACTGGAATATCTGGTCAAGCTCCTCCTTTGTTTTTCCCAAGGCCAATAATTTCTCATGACTCAACAAAAGATGGTGAGCCATCACATTCCGTATTTGCTTCGATTTTTTAAGTAGGTTTGAGAAATATTTTGCGGCTTGTTTGCCTAATACACCCCGGAGCCTGCTGTTTGGCTGGGAGCAAGCACGTTTAAGGGTATCGACAATTGCCGGGAGGTCCGCTGCTTGGTGACAATAATATCCTCTTTCTTCGAGGCCATCCGGGTCAACTATTTCTGAGAGGATATAGCCTAAAAATTCCAACTCTTTGGTCCACTTGAGGACCTGCTTGTGAGACTCGAGGTATACATCGGGTTGCTGTTGCATGTTGATTCCTGATAAGCTTGAGGATTTCATTCTGATGACAAGTTTCGGTGCATTGAATTCATGAAGCGAGAGCAGTTGATGAAGATGTGCTTAATGTCGTCATGTTGAGATCATAAACTAAGGTTCAACCGGATGTATGCGGATGTTGTGGTTGGGGTAGAGAAACACGAGGCTATCACCAGAGAAGATACGAGCAGAGGGGAAGGTGTTGCCGTAAGCTCATAGTAGCTATACCTTTCTTTTTCCTTGGCCAGGTAACCAAACACCTAACCACCTCCTGATGCAGCAGGCTTTGGTCAAGGCTTTGGCTGCTATACATTGGCTTCTGGAATCACCATTACTCCCTGAACATATAGGCTAGGCCCTTATCGGCAGCCTTGTCGGATTTCATACTAGCTTGGTCTACTGCTATACAACCACTGTTTCTCATTCGCTGCACGCAGCGGAGTGTCCATTCTTATTCCCCCGAGTATATAACGAACCCCAGCTCCAGCCAATCACCATCATGTAGTATGAATGAAAAGTTTGAGGCCGTCCGCTTAACGATGTAGTGTATCAAGTGGAAGCAATCCCTGATTACACCTTTCTTTTTGCCTTTTTATACTTTCCGGAAATCCCTCGATTCCAGCTATCCCACTCCATCAGTTCTTTCCTCGCACTATTGAGCTGGGTCACCTGGTCATGAAGATCTAGACTCAACTGACTTATCTGTAAGTTAAGATCATCAATTTGTTCCACCAGAGTCTCGGCACCAATGCCATTCATGTTGAGCCGCCTGGCCAACTTGTGCGATAAATCCACCATGAATTCACCACCCTCTGCCATAATTTGATCGAAGCTCTCACTTTCTAACCTAGTGTAATTCAATGCAACATACTGGGATAACAACTTCCGAGCAGGATTATCTTGAAAATTCGCTCCTGGTGTCGAATCGTAGACAACACGGATAGCATCTGCGAGATACGGAAACACTGCCTCTGTTTCCGCATCGATGATAATAAGAACCTTCGTGAGACGTTGCAGTGCGAAGTCTTCAAGTTCACGGATACAATAACGATGTGCGAAGCAATATACTTTCGCATGGATCAAAATTTCAGCGCCAAGGCGATCGTCAGGATTCGGAGATGCTCGGTAAGTGCAAGCGCCTGCAGCAGTATAGTTATTATCTGCCGGTAGGCCAGCCTTGAGGCACCGGCTCAAGGGTGTTAGTGGTCTGTTAAGTGTTTCTTGATCATCAGGTACAGACTCGGGTGTAGACGGCTCGATTCCAGTAGGAGCTATGAACAACATCAATAAATCACCGACATTAACTTCAGCAAAGAACGCCCTACCTTCGCAGTCATCGTCGATTTTGCAACTATCGTCAGGAACAGATTCCAACTGCGGAACGTAGTAATCTTGCGTATAAAGATAGCTCAAGACGCATTCGACTGTCTGCTCATCGAAGTCGGACCAGTCAATTGGACTTTCATCTCCGTGCTGCCTCCACGGCCCTTCGATTCGCGCACTTAGTGCTGAGTTTTTGCACCATGACAGGGCTTCAGGATGGACATAATAGGAGCTCTTAGCACTCCCTACAATCACCTGGATTGGAGGTTCTCGGAAAATTCTTCGTCTATGTTAGTAAAGTCTATCATGACGTGGAGAGGTGTTTACCTTGCATATTGAGAGGTTTTAGGTCGTGGCTCCATTTTCGACTGAAAACGAAACGTGGGTTCAGTTGACAGAATATAGAAGTTTTATATGAGTTTAGAGCCTGGTTTAGCCTGTCCTTCGATAGCCTGAGGTGGTTTTATAACACAGCCGTTACCCCGCTTCAAAAGAAGCAAGGCTGCATACTTCTGTGCTTGCCGCCGACGTGGGTGAGGAGGGGTAAAACAGTTGGCAAGGCTAATTCTCATTTGAGCGCATCTGCCATCCCTGTCGCAGCCTCATCTTTATGCCCAATTTTGTCGACATCTTGGTGTGGCCTGGATTTATCCAAATAATCTGGTATATTGCTTAGCATAGCCCCTACGAGAGATTCGCCGCACTTACCCAACCAATGGCGAATTTAAACCAGCCGAAGCTATCGGATTTCACTGTAAGGCTTTCCTGGAGACAAGGCTACAAAGCTGCAAGGCTGATACTCGACCTGGGATAACCCAACTGCCCAACTAAACATATTGATATTGCGAAATTGATCAACCATCGGTATTACAGCCTTGCAGCTGGAGCTGCGAGGCTTTGACGCTCCCTGGTACTTAGATGTGGGTTAACCGTCGTGTATATATTGTCCTTAGTATCTTCTGGCAATCAATATGAGGGTATTTCAATTCACTGCTACTCACCCCTTCGCAGTCAAAATGCAAGTTGTGAGCCAGCCTACTCGAGCACGGCTTCGACCACGATACGATGATGGAGACCTTCACAGCAATTCAGCAGACTATCTCGCCGTGAACGGAGATCTGACTCAGACTCAGCGTTGCCTCCAATTCATTGATATGTTGAGGATGCATGCACACCTTCCGAGGAACTCACGAGAGAACTACTTACTTCCGGTCGTCAATACTAGGGGTATTCATGCGCCCCCACCTATAGCAAGCATCTCGGTGCCTAATACCTCCCAAACGTCGGGGCGTAGGATTCGGCGCGTTCGAAGGTATGATCCATACTCGAGAAACACAATCAAGCATGAAAGTCAGTGGTTGAGAATGCCCAAGGCAAGATAGCTCGGACACTCTATTCGAGCAACGTGCAACGGACCGCCCACCTGGTCCCCATGAAATCCGGAGAAAGGAATTGGGAGATTTCTTCAACCCGATGTTTGAGAAAGAATTCCCCGTGATATTTATCTGTTGGGGCAGAAAAGAGCGCTGCCAGATTGTTCCGGTGGTGATCACTGACCCAACTGATGAGGTTACCGCGTGGCAAGCAATTTCCCAGGAGTTTTACGCACAGAGAGGCGTTTTGGCGAAATATTTGCCATGGTTTTGTGTGAATAAGGTGGAAATTGTTGATGTATGTGGCTCCTAAACATAAAAATTGGGGCAATTATTCTGATTGCAATACCAAAGCTTTCTATTACAGGGCAGAAGCTGGCCAATGACCATCGATCGACAGGCATTGAATATGTTGGTATATATAACAGTGAAGATTTGGTTGCCAAAAGGAAGCATTTGGAGCAAGTCATCGCGGATTACAAGCCTCAGGATTGGCCTTGTCTGTATAAAGCTTCCACAGGGGCCGTGTTCTGTCATGATGGCTGTGTAACGAGCTATGCGGATTATGCAGAATGCCCTGAGAGGACTAAATTCAGAGCGGAACGTGAGCTCTCGTTACTCAGTCTCCGGCCTATACTTACCCAGTGCTTCTTTCAAGCTAAGATTGCTGCACACAATCACCTGCTTAGCAGGGAGAGATTAATAAATGGTCACCAGTATGGGTCTCCTTCGTTCGTCAATATCTATGATCGAGAAGTACTGATCTTCAATCAATAGAGATATTCTGACAAAACTCAATGTTTGGCATTGTCCGGAGTTGGGTGAAGTTCAATTTCGCAGCTTGATGATCGGCGACAATAGGGAAGGCAATTTGCAGCATATGGTGCTACTTGTGACAGTAATACTAATTTTGCTGAGCATAGCCATTGCAAGGTTAGTTTTCGATGACTGGGCTATAGCATGGACCGTTGGTGCCTTCTTTGTAGGGTTGTTAATAGGGTTGTTAAGCTTGTTGCAAAAGGGGAAGAGTTGATAGCTACTATGCAGTGGGAAATAATCACCGATTACATTATATGATGATAAGTTTATATGCTTGAGTTGGTCTGCCTCGAGGGCTGTAACATATTCTGTTCTGGGAACATATAACTCTGTCAAAATAATATAGTAAGTACTACTCCTCAAGACTCTTTCATAGTAGCTTCATGGGGGCTGGTTGCTCTACTAGTACTATGCTAGTATCATATATATTTCTACTCAGCGCCACTGCCAGCAGGCTGCGCAGTGGAGAGAATGGGCAGACTGAGGCTGAGAGAAAATCCACAGTGCAGACTTGGCTTGCTGCTGCAACGCGTGGCGCTTGGCAGCAGCTAAAGATGCACATCCGTTGGCAAAAGAAACAAGTCATCGACCGGCAGTTGAGTGGCGGTGATTGATTGAATTGATTGGGGCTGCCAGGGACGGGGGGTCCCATGACATCACCGCCGACCGGTCGGGATCTTTGAAGAGAGTTTGGATAACCCTCTCCACTTCTCTTCTTCTACTTACTTTGACTATCAATGCAATGACGATGCAGTGCCCAATGACATGTGGCAATCGCTTCGTGTTCCTGTCCCTTTCCTCTCCTTTATCTTTCTCTTAATCTCGCTCTCTCTCCTCTCCCTCTTTCGCTGCATGCACGCTCGTTCCACCTCCCACCCCTTTCTTCCCCCCCTTCATTCTTTTTGACCCGCTCGCGTCCTCCACTTTGAATCTTCATCTTTTATCCTTCCTTACTATTGTTGACCCCTGCAATTTTCGTTCACCTTCTCTTATACCTGGCTTTTCGAGCCATGTATCCTGGTCGACTGTTCCCCCCTCTAGACTAGTACAATGCCACTCAACACCTTTGCCCTGAGTGTGGCCCTCACTCCGGCCGTCCTCCAGACCCTGATCTCGCATGTGGGTCGCCCTGCCGCTGTCACTTCACTGTTCTTTCCCCATCTTGTTTGATCTTGGGTCATAGTTCATGGACCTTGACTCTGACATTGACCCTGATCCTCTATCTCCAGTATATTCATCGCAAATCGCTTCGTGAGAAGCCCAACGTGCACGTCACCTACGATGAAGCCATCCGCATCCTGCGTGAATTCCTTGTCTATGCCTCCAAACATCCCGTCGAGGATCTCCAGGCCTTTACCTGCCAGAAGGTGCCCGCGCCCCATTGGGTGAAACTACAAACCGTGACTGTGTCGGAGGAATACCTCTCGTCAGCGGCCAAGGCCATCAACCAACAGTTGGGTCCCAAGGGCATCGCACGGGTTGGAGGGAGTGAGTGGTGGCAATGGCGTGGACCAGCCGAGGACCTCAAGGGAGAGTGGATCGAGATGAAGGATGATTACAATGAGCGGAAGCAGACCAGTCGCGATCATCCGAGCCAAAAGCGGATCATGTTGTATATCCATGGTGGGGCGTACTTCTTCGCTAGTCTGGATACCCATCGCTATCAGATGCAGCGGCACGCTAGGAAGCTTAAGGGTCGGGTTTTTGCACGGTAAGATTTATCGGCTATCTTTCATTTATATGCAATGCTAACTTAGTGTAGTGAGTTCTGGATCTACTGGGATGCGACCCGTGGACCGTAAAAGCTAATTCCTGATCTCCAGCTAAATATCGTCTGGCGCCGCAATTTCCGTTCCCGTGCAGTCTACAAGACTCCCTGGCCGCATACCTGTACCTGCTGGAGGATCATGATCCGAAAGAGATCATTTTTGCCGGCGACTCGGCCGGTGGAGGAATGGTGTTCTCGTAGGTAAAGCGCAGCGGTGGAAGAGCAACGCTGACTCTGGTAGGATGCTTGTCATCTGTCGCGATCAAGGTCTGCCTTTGCCGGCGGGTGCCATCCTAATTTCCCCTTGGGTGGACCTTACGCATTCGTTCCCGAGCATTGTCGCGGACAACCCGGGCGACTACATTCCTCCCTATGGCTTCAGACATAAACCCTCCGCTGCATGGCCCCCGCCAAACGCGGACGAGCTGCGTGAGCTCAAGAAAGGCCTCAAAAAACACCCAGCCAGCCAGAGTGAGGCTCTCAAGGCCATACCGAATGACAGCGAGGCCGAAGAAACAGCAGCGAAGGGTTATTCGAGCCGTAGGAACAGCGCGACCAACGCGGAACGTGCCTTCGACATCGAGCACGAGACTGTCAAGGTGGTACTTGATGGGGAGACAGTGGAGGTCAAGGACCAGATTCACATGTACACTACTAACGAGCTTCTGTCTCATCCTCTCGTCTCCCCTGTCTTCCAGCTATCACTGGGAGGTCTACCTCCACTGCTGATCCAAAGCGGAGGTGGTGAAATGCTACGAGACGAGCAGTTCTACATTGCACATAAGGCCGCCAACCCCACAGCATACCCGCCCAGTGACAAGTTCCTCGACGAGCATGATCCATCACGCGAGATTCTTCACAAATACCCCGGTACCCATGTTCAGCTACAAGTCTGGGACGACCTCTGCCACGTCGCTCCCACTCTCAGCTTTACACGTCCCGCGAAGTATATGTACCGGGCGATCGCTCAATTTGGGGCCTGGGCTCTGGCATGTGCGCAGAAAGAGGAGGTGGAAATCGAAGATCAGCAGTCCGGGTCATCCAGCGAGTCTGACAAGCCAGGAGACGCTGCTAACGGTACCACCAATGGCACCGCAGTCGCATCGATTGGACGGGCAGGCGATCCATTACCGGCCTTCAAAGACCGCATGATCCGACAACGAGTCGACAAACGGGGAAATATTTATCCGCTTGATCCTCCGTCTCAGTGTCCCGTCCTCCAGATCCCCAGCTCCCAAGTCGGTACCTTCAACCCCAAACTTGTCCGTGGATGGCTGGCAGCCAAGGAGGAATGGGACGAGAAATTCGCCAAAGACAAGCTCCGGGTTCAGCGACAGCGGATCAAGGAATTGGCGTATGGCCTTCAGACATTCAAGGACGAGTTGCCTCCACCCAGTTCACTTGCTGCAAGACGCAATGCCCCTGGCGTCTTGCCCTCCAAGACCGGCCGCAAGAGTTACCCCATGACGATGTGGAGCAGACTGGCGAGCAAGCAAGACGAGAGATCGATCGCTAAAGAACAGCAAAAAGGCTGCGAGGTCAAGCGGAAGAGTGTCGACGCCGGACGCGCCGGAGCGTCAATGGACGAGGCCAACAGATCCAAAGCCGAGAGTGTACGGCCGTCCTCTCAACCGGCTACCCTTGCCTCGCACCCTACGAACATCGTCATTGTCCCAACCCAATCAGAAAAAGACAGCGTAACCTCCCATAAGGCGTCAACTGATGCAGTTGATCAGCTGGGAACATCTCCCCCGCAAGGTACAGCTCTCAGCAAGTCCAGCAGCCGACTCATGCTACTCCCGGAATACGAAGGGAAAACGCTCCTCGACGAAAACGCCAGCACAAGGACGCTCTTCCGTGAAGCCGGAGCCATCCCTACCACATCAGATGGCGTATGGTCACGACTTCGCCAACGGCCACTATCTCATGCCGGCTCCGGAACTATCCGCAGCGAATTCACCTCCGAGCTTCCTGAAGATAGCAGCACGATCGGCGATGAGAAATCCCTTGCGGTGACCACCACGGGTGTTGACGAAGCCAGCACTCGCGCCGTGCTGCGCGCTGGTGGTGTGGTGGGTCTGATGAGCGATGATGGCGACTCAGCTTATCGCTCGTTTGATGCGCTGTCGACCACGGATGCAGGTGATGCTGAATCCGTACCTGGTGGCGTGAATGGTGATACAGGAGGGGTGAATGGCAGTGCTGATGTTGACAAACACGCGCGTCCGACTATGCCGGATCGCGAGTTCTTCAAGACGGCTGAGGAGTATGTGGCTTATTGAGTTGGTAGCCAGTGGAGGTGTGCTGATGATATATGCCCTTTGGACTTTTACGTCTCGTCTCGCGACATGGCGATTGGCGCGTCTTCTGCAAGAGTCATGGCGAGTATATGCCACTGTTCTATCTATAGTTCTGATCTGTCGTTTTATTGTTTTGGAATACCCCGTTGTCGAATACTACAAAGACATACACCATCTCAAATACCTGCATGACTGTACATACCGCAATCACATAACCATTAACCATAACACATTTTGGGTATAATCATACACACATACTATACATAACAATCCTCATCTCCCCCTCCCCAAAAATACAAACCTACCACTCAATCCCCACCTTCTTCGCCACCTGCTCCGCAACATCCAAAAATGCCCTCCTCCTCACCCCCTCCTTCCCCTCCTTCCCTTCCTCAGCAACCACGCTCGGCATCCCCCGATCCGCATCCTCACAAACCCTCGCATCCAGCGGCACATCGCCCAAAAACCCAACCCCCAGCCTCCTACACTCCGCCTCCACCCCCCAATCCGCCCCCTCATGCACATGCTTTCCCTGCGAGAAGATCTTCGTCTGCGTCCCACACTCCGGGCACGCAAAGAACGCCATATTCCTCACCATCCCCAGCACCGGCACATCCATGCGCTGGAACATGCCGATTCCACGCACTGCATCCCGCAGCGCGATATCCTGTGGCGTTGTCACGATCACGGCTCCATCGAGAATAATCTCCTGGTTGATGGTGAGTTGCACGTCGCCAGTTCCCGGGGGAAGGTCAAGGAAGAGCACGTCCAACGGACCCCAGGATACGGAGTGGAGGAGTTGGTGCATTGCTTTGGTGACCATTAGACCTCGCCACGAGATGGGGGTTGGGTCCATGGGGGGTCGTTCGGTCGGGTCGGCGGTCGGGGGTGCTTGGGTGCTGGGGAGAAGGTAGCCCATTGACATGGATTTGAGGCCGTAGTTGGTTAGAGGGAGGAGGCAGTTTTCTGTCATGCCAAGGGAGTTGTTCGTTAGTTGAGGTACCCTTAAACTGGGGTGTAGGTGGGATAACGCACTATCGTCTAATCTAGGCTCGCCGGATAGGTTCAATAGAGTAGGAATGGATGGGCCGAAGATATCGGTATCGAGGATGCCGGTGCGGATGCCGCGGCGGGCGAAGGCGAGAGCAAGGTTGACTATTGATAGATTGTAGCCATGTCAGTATCTGTTTAATTGAACAAAGTGGTATAAAGGTATACCCGCTATCGTCGACTTCCCCACCCCACCCTTCGCCGAAGACACAGCAATCACCTTCTTCACATCGCGGATCTTGCGCTTCTCGGGGAGCCCGCGACGACTTCGGAGAGACGGCGGCGTGCCGGAGCGAGGGAGGCCCTGATACCTTATTAGTACAAATTTTTTGATGTTCCGGAGAAGATGAGAAATACAAGTGGATTATCATGCTGCAAGCACCGGAACGTGGAGAACAATCTCTTCCCCAACATGGTGAACGAGTGTGATCGATTAATTGGAAGTAAGTATGTCACTAGTTGAAGCCCGTCTAACTATGATTAAATGATGGAAGCTAATACTGCCAGAATAAATCTCACCGCCGGCAAAACCCTCCCCATTCCACCCAACCATTTCTCAATATGGTAGGTAATCCCGACACCGCATCCCGAAATCTCGGGCAGAAAAAAAAAGTTGCAAAGGGAAAACTAGTCTCGCGATCTTGAATTTCTGCGCTCTAAGTTATTTGCATCACTCTGCTTTGTTTCTCCTTGAACCAAAAGCAATCACAGCCATGGCTCCGAAATCTCTGGCGGAACAGATGGCGGAGTTGGAGGATTTGACTCCGAGAGGTAATTTACCAATTTTAATCCTGTTGATGGTGATGTTGATGTTGTTTGGGGGGAACTATGTTCTGACTATGGTGATGTTTTTTAGACTACGACCCTGAGGATCTTGATCGCGGAAACCAGGATAGTGATGAGGAGGGTGCTGCTGGTGGTAAGGATGAGAATGCGGGGAGGGAGCATTATCAGGCTGTTGGGTAGGTTTTTTCTTCATTTCTCGTTTTGTTTATGGGTTGGTGTCTAGTGTTCATGGGGCGTGTTTCTGATTATTGTATCATTGCAGAAAAGCGAAGCTTCGCAAGCAGGATCCCATCACCCTCGGAAAACAGTATGCTGGGTCGAAAGTGAGTCGCGCGGCGTTGGAGGCTGATAGTGATGATGATCCGTTTGCGGCGCGGTCGGGTGATGAGGATGAAGATGAAGATGATGACGAGGAGGAGGACGAGGACGAGGATGAAGATGAGGATCTGGAACTGGGTAGCGACGAGGATGATGAAGACATCTCCGAGAGCGAGGAGGAGGAGGAGGAGGAGCAGCGCCCATCCAAGTCTGCAAAGAAGGGAAAGAAGCAGGTCGAGCTGGACGACATGGACACCGACGAGTCGGACGACCTTGAAGGCAGCGAAGGATCTTTCGACGAGGACGAGATGCCCTCTGACGAAGACGAGGAGGACGAAGATGACGACGACGAAGAAGAGGAAGAATCAGAATCAGAATCCGACTTCGACTCCAAATCGCGCAAACCCACCAACGACCGCGACGAACTCCGGCGCCTGATGGCAACCGACCAAAAGACCATCGCGGCGAGCATCTCCCAAGCGGCCAAAGCCGACGCCGCGAAAGGCAAAGCCGTGAAGCAACAACGCGCGACCTTCGACGCCCTCCTCAACACCCGAATCAAGCTCCAAAAGGGCCTAACAGCCATAAACCAGCTCTCCCTTGCCGCCACCTCCCCCGACGCCGACTCCGAAGAAGCCATCACCTCCGCCGAATCCGCCGCTCTGGCACTCTGGTCCACGCTCGAAGACCTGCGCGTTGTGCTCGCCGACGCCCACAACACCAACGGTAGCACAGAGGAACCGAAGAAGCGCAAGCGCGTCGACACCGACACCCCCACCGCGACGCTCTGGACACGCATGACCGATCTCGAATCCGCCGCGACCACCCACCGCCGCACCATCCTCGACAAATGGTCCGCCAAAGTCCGCGGCTCGACTGCCACAACCGCCGCCAACACCCGCGGCAAGCTCATCAACTCATCTGGCTCGGGCGCGCAATCCATCACCGCCGTCCTGGACGCCCAGGTCGCGACCGAGACAGGCGACCATTCCCGTGCTGCTAAGCGCGCCCGTCAAGACACCACCACCACCACCACCACTGCCGCCGAAGGCGCAGCAGCCACCACCCCCATCTACGACGACACCGTCTTCTACCAATCTCTACTCCGCGACCTCGTCGAGCAGCGCATGGCCTCCTCCGATGCGATCACCAACGGCCTCGATACCCTGCACATACAACTGCCGACGCGCGGCGGAGCAGCGATCCACCCTGTGACGGGGATGCGGAAGGACAAGGTCAAGCGGGATGTGGATACGCGGGCGTCGAAGGGTCGCAAGATGCGGTTCGATGTTCATGAGAAGTTGCAGAATTTCATGGCGCCGGAGGATCGTGGTAGTTGGACGAAGCATGCGCGCGAGGAGTTCTTTGCGTCGTTGTTGGGTAAGACGGCTAGTGGGTTGTTGAGGGAGGAGAGTGGGGATGAAGAGAGTGGTGCGGAAGAGAGTGAGGAGGATAGAGAGGAGGGTGGATTGCGGTTGTTTAGAAGCTAAGTAGATCCTGCTTACTTTGGGTGTATAGTATTGGTTGCTTTCTTATTTCAAGAGGTTGTTTAGTGGGGGAAAAGTGTGGAGTGTATATAGCTTGGATTGATTACTATGTATGGTATGTGGAATTGGTACACAACAACACAACACAACACAACACAACAACAACAAAAGTCACAGTTTGGTTCGACTTCCCCGACATTTGTCTGCCCTCTGTTCCTCTCCCTCTTGGGGATGGTCGTATCGGTCATTATTCATTAATCGTAATGCTTTGCTGCAGCGCAATAGGTAAGGTAGTGAGTATCCACACCCTCGGATATATCCTCATCCACGAAACTCCCCTATCGAGCGCAAAGCGCAAAGCGCAAAGCAGCAGGTCGGCACGTATGCATCTCAATCCATCAACAGACAGACCAACACCCAGCCCAGCACAGAGCCCAACCTTTTAAATCAGCAATAAACAAAAAGCCGCAGTGGTTCAGTAGGTATCACCGCTGCGCTCCCCTCTTCGCAGGCGAATACCTCGGCAACCACCCGGCGGCCGACCCAGCAGGCAGGGGTCTTTCCCACTCGAAGCTGGTCTGTCTCGGCAAACCGAGCATTTTCTCCTGTACAGCACGCTGGAGCTTCATTTTCCGTTCTTCTTCTTCCTGGGGGGAAAGGAAATGCGGGAAGCCGTCGTAGTCGACGATGACGGCGCCGCTGACGTCGTTGTAGCCTGGGAGGGAGGAGACAGGGATGGATCTGGTGGTTGTGTCGATCATGGTTGGATCGCTTTCTTTGTCTTGTGGTGGTGATTGTTGTTGTTGGTCTTGTTGGGAGTATGTGTAGGTTGGGGGTGGTGAGGGTGGTGGTGATGTTGATTTGTCGGCTAGGTAGTACTCGGCTGGGGGGTTGATGTCTTCCCAGATGAATGAGGCGGTTTTGTTTTCGGTGGGTGTATCTGGTTCGGATAGTGGTGGTGAGTGGAGGAGTGGTTTGGATATTTCGGATGCGAATAGGTCTGGTTGTTGTTGTTGTTGTGGTTGTGATGGTGAGTAGTATGGTTGGTGGGTAGTAATAGTAGTAGTATTGTTGGTGTTGGGTAGTAGAGGCTCCGAGAGACTAGTCGGAGTAGTACAAGGCTTATCCATTTTACCGGCAGAGGTGAAAAGGAACCGGAAGGATGAGAAGGGGTGGCGGCCTTTTACTGGCCAAGAGGAGGTCGACTTGTTGTCAGGCATTGATTCGATCAATGGCTAAGTTGTAGATAGATAGAGAGATGTTATTGTTGGCAGCAGCAGCAACAGCAGCAGCAGGAGAGAAGGAATGGCATTAGCACTCTGCAAGATGCGGGGGAAGTGACAGTCCATTGGGCCGGGAGCGCGGGAATAGAGTTTCTTTAGTAGTTTTAGCAGTGGCCAAAAAAGATGGGGAAAAAGGGAGAAGAGGAGGGGGTGTGGAAATGAGATGTGCAAATGACCTTCAGGGGTATGGAGGGAACTAACTAGTCGCATTTTGCATCCAACAAGTGAATATGCGGAGCCGTGACTCGGAACCGAGGCGGGCAAATGGATGATCAATGACTTCACGTGCCTCCCCTGGCACCTCTCACACTTCTGACTATTGATTTCGCCCCAGTCGATCAGGCGGAACTGGAAGGAGCTAGTGCTGTTGAAGGCGCTCCTGAATGATGAAAACGGAGGCGGATGCGATGCTCTCAATTCCGGCTTCCATGGTTGCATTTCCGCCTGGCTCCACGTCGAATACGCGTTGTTATCCACCCGGATTAGGGCTCTGCTTGGCTTGTTACCGGTGGAAGTGGACGCTTTCGGGCTCCCGATAATACTCCTCCGATCAACTACCATGAGTCTTCTGGAAATACTGAAATCTGCCTCGAAGTTTCGGTCCAGGCTTCATGTTGCTTCTACTTGGACCCTATCGGAGCCGGCAATCTCCGTGGCGCGATAGTCTCTGCAGCATGCATGGGAATGGCGCCGCGTGATAGGCGAACCCATATGCAGGGTGTCCGGCGTGCACGATGTGCCATTTAGGTTCGCGATTTCAAGATCCGTTGCCATTTGTGTCATGTCTACACCGCTACAATGAGGCCCGATTGTGAGGTGCCCGATAGGATTCAGATCAAGTCTCAAGGTTGGGGCTGGATTCGACTGGTCCGCGAAACTGCATCGACTGGTTGTCGCATGTGCTGGTGCAGTAGAATCATGCCCAACGTGACGTCTACAGCCCAGCAGGCGTGAGCGCCAGTTATATCTACGGCCATTATCTGCCAATCGGCATGCGTCACAGATCCCGGCGGTCATATCGTCCTTTTAAGCTTTTAGCCACTTGATCAGACGGTGCTAGTCCACCGGTGCATATGCCCGGACGAATAAGAGCTGATAGAGAAAGCGAGAGTCCAGCACAGAGACGCACTGCTAACGCTTCTGCATCGATTACCCTGGCAGGGATCCCAGCGTGGTTAGACTCATCACAGGGGCAATGCGGGCGACTGCTGCCTGGCCGAGATCCACAGTTGATTGGGCTCAGCACAAGGGCAATAGCTGGTGACGTGCTGGGACTGTTGGAGTCGACCTATCCCGAGATAGGTGGCACAGCGCATAGTGCTCAGTTTTGCCGAATGATACACCTGTCACTCTTTGAGTTACAACGCCTGGATTTCGGTATATGTTCGGGTCAGTTCAACTGTCCGTCTCTTCGTCAGCCCATTGCTCTCGTAAGGACTGGATCGATGCCGTCACATCCCACCCCGTTCTCGTCCACATCTCTCTGAGGAGGATTTCGGCAGCCTGCTGGTCCGTCTTTTGCCGAATGACCCAGCCCCCTAGTGCCACAGTTAGTCGAGTAGAAGAAAGGTTTGCGCTCAGTCCATGCCACATGACTCGACTGCCATGTCACTTACACGCTACTAGGCTATGCCGTGCGGTGAAAAGCGTATTCTCCGCTTTGGGATTTGACTTGGCCAATCCCAGCACCATGAACAGGTGATAGCGTATCGCTTTCTGAGTACAGTCAGGTGATAAAACCATGTCAAAATTACACCAACGTACCTCGATGTTTCGCGAATTTCTGAAACTCTCGTAAGCAAGCGGAAGACTTGGGCAACAAGCAATGGCAAGAACTATCTTGGCGATATGATAGTACTGAATTCCGACCACTAAATTGGAAAGACATTAGTCGAAATCAGGCAGATGTCGGAACACTCACCATGCACCGGTAGCAACATCCACATCTCTGGGAACCGACGCGAGACATCCTTTCCACGAGGAAGATAGCGCAGGGGTTGGAAGGACGGCGGCTTTCTGGCATTCCAGTCTTCAACTTCCTGGGCAATACTCTGTAGCGCAGTGTATTCTGGCAAAGACATCTGATTGAAAGCACATTTGAGGACTTTGGCTAACAGGAAGACCATCCGAGCTGCCCACGCAAAATCATCGTTTCTTAGAAAAATATCGGAATGGTGGAAGCTTTCCAGATTTGTTCGTAGGGGCTTTTGCGAGATCAGCGATACATGAATGTCCTCACGGAGACAGAGCCAGGCTGCCGCTTCACCCAATCCCCCGGAGGATCCAAATGAGGAGACCGTATTCATGATACGCGTTGCCCCTGTCAGATGGAATTGGTTGTCGTCATCTATATAATGTTAGCGCCGTGAATGCTTCTGTGGCAGCACGGCATCACATACACTCCATTTCCTCGTGTTGGCGAAGGATAGCAACAGTAGCAAGAACAACATCAGTCAGATCACCACCAGTTCCAGATAATGTGGGAATCAGCAGCTGCAGACAGTGGTTATGATATTGCAGTGCCTCCGCTTCGTTTCCCTTTTTTTGTCGCTCGACATGGCGAGAGGAGAGAGCGAAGATCGCATATCGCAGAACGGATTCCTGCATTGCTCTCACAGGTACCTCTACCTCGAAGTGTCGATGAGGGTCGGTTATATCTGCCTTTGAGGGGTCAGCGACAGAAACAGGAACGTGAAACACCAATCATCTGCTCATACCCACAGCGCCATATTCTCAACATAGTTCCGCATCAACTTCGCTTCTCTCTCATTAAATGAGAGCCGCTGTTGCTGCACCAAGTCACTAGCCTGTAACTCTCTTCCCGTAACTGTGTCAGAACGCTGAAGAGCGTTTCCCATCAACAATTCTAACTCAGACGAACGACCATCATGGCGCAGAGTCTGTATCGGAGGTGTATCATCCGTCAATGGCGACGTATACTGCTCGAGGCCATGGTACTCGACAACTCCGACTGGAGTTATAGGTGCATCATTGACCCCACGAGACTGCTCTGCTGGGCCATTATGCTCTGGCTCTTCCGCCTCATACAATTGTTTGATGATGACCGTTTCGTCAACGAACCTCACTTCAGAAGTTGAGAAGGTCAGCTTGACACCACCAGCCGTCAAAGAGACAAAGGGGTGGGGTCACTAACGTGGACCCATCAAGTATGGCCACAAATTCCTTTCCGGGAAGAGAGCATCATCATCACCAAAGATGTCTAGTCCGTTCCGGAAGCGCACGTTTATTCCTCTGTCGCAGTCTGTACCCGCCCGGATGCAATGGCTGCAAGCTGGAGAATTGGTGTCGCCTGTAGGATAGACGTGTCAATTCAAGGCAATAGACCTGTTTGTGGGGAGTACGAACACTTCAGATGACGGACTAAACAAGAGAAGAATTAGTCCCTATACGAATCTTTCCATCATCTTCGGTGGAGGTGAGAGGGCGGTCTAGGAGCTTACTTCGACATCTTTGACTGAAGGGATGGGTTAGCGTAGCAATCCAGGGACGATGATAGGTGGTTGGGTAAATACCAGCCAGCGATCAGACGATGTCGTGGTTTGCGTGATGGGGTCATGGGGTTCTGGTGCCATTGAGAGCGTGAGAAAATGGATGAGGAAACACGGAAAGACTTGCCTTGTAGAGGTGAGAGTGCGGGCTAGGCTGGAATCGGTCGGGGGCTATCCCCGCATCCCATATTAAATCCCCGCATTCGCTAAATGAAGGAATCCGAGCCACGGTCGGGCCTATCCGTCACTTGTTGGATGGGCCATTCTTGGCATTTATTATAGATATAACAGGTTCAGTAGTTGAACCACCTTCGTTGATATTCATAAATATATATATAATGTAGCAAAAAAACCTATATGTAATGCCAAACGCTCCTAAAACCATAATACACGACTACCGACGCCAAAAGCCAACATGAGACGACAGATGAAGTCTCAATAATATTCTGGCAGATTGCCGAAACTAGGGATGGCATCCCCGCACTTAAAGGCTGGGCTATAGGCCTTCTTCGGCATGTAGCCGTTCTTCCACGCCGTCCGATAGCTCCACTGTGCTGCAGACTCCGTTGCCCAGGTCCAGTAGAACCACCCCATGGCGGTTTCAAAAGCCGACATCTGTGCTTCGGCGTAGGTTTGGAGGAACGTCTTGTATCCTTCCGAGTAGACGCCAGGAACAGCGTTGGCTTGCGTGCAGCTGCAGGTTCCCTCGCTGGCTGTGGGACAGTACTGAGTCGAGTCGGTAAGAGAGAAGGTACCTTCCCAACGAGTACCACGGCCGACATTGTTAACGTACTGAGCACAGTCGGTGTCGGCTTGGGACCATTCACCGCATATGGTTGGGCCCCATCTAGATAAGGTCAGTAACTTGTGATGGTGGGAAGGACTGGGGGTGGATACGAACCCCGTGCTGGTAATATTGATCTGCTGAATCATCGAGTACCAGCTTTCGCAGATGAGCTCCACTCTTCTGGTGTGGTTGAGGACAATCTCGCCCGTGTTGAAGACGGTGTATTGGTGGGTATCAAGCATCATGTTGTTCGGTCGAGTTTTAAGCATCTTATCCCATTTCGCTAGATTGAGGAAGCCGTCGTGGGCGGTGACCCAAGCTTTGATCCCGTTCTTCTGTACCAGGTTGGTAGCTTCTACTGTCCAATTGAGGACTTTTTCGACAGGCAAGGAAAGCATTAGCGGTTCGTTTACGAGACCGTAAATCGTCACGACATTCTTGTATCGGTCCTGTGCGAAGAACTGCGAGAGCTGGTCATGCATCTCAAGAGATCGTTGTCGATTTAATTCTCCGTCGGTCCCGTTCAGCCAGCCGATCGTACCCTGTCGACCGCTGTGGTTCCAGCCGTTCTGACTCCCTGGGATTCCATGGGGATCGAGGTTGACTCGGAGGCCGTATTTGCGGCAGTATTCAATGGCCCTGAGGAGGTAGCGCCATGCGATTTTTGGGACATACGGATCGCCATCGTATGTCTTGATGGCCCAGTATGAAAACTGGATCCGAACGTGATCGAGACCGGCATCTCTGATGTCAGTAAAGTCTTGCTCGGTGATGAATGTGGCATAGTGCTTTTCGATGACTGAGGCAGCCGAGTCGCCGAGTTTCTTGGATAGCGTCCACTCGTCGATTATTCCTTCGTTTGAAGTGTAGGTATCGAAAAGCGAAGGGACAATGAAGGGCTCGATCGACAACCAGCCTCCAAGGTTGACACCGCGGATAGGTTGCGAGCCGTACGGAAACTTCTCGTCCAGAGGTGGCACATTTTCGTTCGCTTGGGCTGAATCGTTCCACGTCGAGTTCAGACCCATAATAGACAAACCACCAACGGTGGCATTTGTGAAGGTCACATTGAAGTCAGTGGTATCGTACCATGTAAAGGGATCGAGGTACGTCCCTCTAGCATAGGCCTAATATGGTCAGTATCACCAAGAGTCAAATAGAGCTCAAACATACCGGAATACTATCGCGACTAATTCCTTCCAGATTAGAATTCGAAGAGCTATCAGCTCCATTAGTCCCGTGAAGTCGCCTTGCCTCAATAATTCCCACAGGGATCGCTATAGCTGCCATGACTATTAATATTGCAAAGAAGATGAAGGTTTTGTGATAGCGCTTCCAGAATGACGGCCTCGCAGAGGCAGAAGAACCTTTCGTGCTGCCATCCCAATCACCCTCTTTCTGGAGCAATCCCTCCGTAGGCGGCCCACCTCCACCACGATGTCGCATCTCGATAGCAGGGCCTCCCTGTTCCAACTGCGCCCCAGACACCACCCTACCCTGTGTCTGCCCCGTCGGCGCTACTGCAGGAAACGGCCGTAGCATCATTGGCTCCTCACTCAGAACCGGAAGTTTCCTTTGCCTGCCACCTTCCAAATTTTTCTGTGACATCGAGTCCGCACGCTCACTACCCAGATGGCTCAAGCAATCCTCATCGCCATCCTGTGACCCAAGCAGCTTTGCCAGGGCATCCCCACTGACCAATCCCGCCGATGCGCCCTCGTTCTTATGTTTGAAGAACGCCGCAAGCCTCTCTTTCCTCCTCTGCCGTCGCGTCTCTCGATCCAATCGCTTCTTCCCCTTTCCCTTACCTAGAGAATCAGATGGCAAGGGAGGTGGTCCATCATCGCCAAGCGCCCCGCTCATTTGGTACTGATACTCTTTCGCTTGAGTGACATCCTCTTCCTTGGGAATGGCAGTCTCAAACCCCTCTCTCCATGCATCACCTTCGACCTGAGCGCGTAACGGAACCCAAGGCTCCCCAAACTTATCATCGTATTCACGGTCGTGATCATCCTCATGGGCATCGTCATCATCATCATCGTCGTCGTCGTGATATTCATCATGTGTCTCGTAACTATAGACATTTCGTGGTGCACGGGCGTAGTCTTCCTCAGCGGAGTCAAACAACGAATCATTGTTATTATAATATTCCCTCTGATACACCGAGGGAGAGTAAACGGGATCGGCATCGTCCAGCTCGCTGCTGGGACTCAACCGGTCCCGACTGCGGGAGTGGCTCGGCATGCAGTGCAGCCGGGAACTTTATCGGAACGAATAAGAGGCCTAAAGGGATAAAGGAATGTGGGCGTCAGATAAAGTAAATTAATCAAAATCCAATCGGCAGATCCGGGTGTCCCGGGGCGAGAACACAGTGTGGAATGTTGGGTTGCCCCGCCGGTTACAGTCTAGAACTGCCACCGTCCCACGCTGACGGAGAGCCCCTGAAGGAGAACAGTGGACGGAATGTACGGGAGATCGGGTGAGATGGGATACGATCTCCGGAGTATGGCTAATTAATTAGCTGAGCAGTCTCGGAGGTACCAAGACGGGATCGCCAGGTACCGGGAGCAATTGAATGAATGAAGAGAGAAAAAGGACATGTCAGCTCGAGGCGGCGGCGCGTCTGGCGATAAACAGAAATTCGCCCGATTTGAAACCCTTTTTGTATTGGATTTGCTGTTTTGGGTCTAGTGCGGAGACGGTGGTTCTTGGGGTGTGGCTGGATTGGGACTAGTGCGGGCTATTCAGGGACTGGACCCTGGGGAGTTATCACCTGACTGGCTACATTATAGACCTTCTGTACTGCGGAGGTGTTCTAGAACAGTATTATTCCGTTGATATATATTTTGTTGCACATGTCATTGTTGTTACAATCCCTCTTTTCGCCCAAAACACTTAGTACTTGGTGTAACGCAGGTACGGCTTCAGCTCGCGCACCTCGCCAAACTTCTTCTTGGCATCCTCGGTCGACACCGAAGGAGGCACAATCACATCCTCGCCAACCTGCCAGTCAATAGGAGTGGCAATGCCCTTGCGGTCAGCAGTCTGCAGGGAATCGATGACACGCAGGACCTCGGCCGAGTTGCGGCCAGTGGAGGCAGGGTACGACATGGTGAGACGGATCTTCTTCTCGGGGTCGATGATGAAGACGGAGCGGATGGTGAACGGGATGCCCTTCTCAGCAATGTTGTCCAAGTCGCGCTGATCAACCATGTCGTAAAGGAAGGCGACCTTGCGGTCGGCATCGGCGATGATAGGGAACTGAACGTTGGTGTTGGCAACCTCGTTGATGTCATCAATCCACTGGTCGTGGGAGCTGAGGTCATTGGCGCTCTAGAGGTTCATTGACTGTTAGCGGCAGAACCGGAATTCTAATACCAGACCACTCACCAGACCAATCATCTTGACGCCTCTCTTCTCAAACTCATCCTTCATCTTGGCGAAAGCACCCAGCTCGGTGGTGCAGACGGGGGTGAAGTCGGCCGGGTGGGAGAAGAGAATGGCCCAGCTATTGCCGATGAACTCGTGGAAGTCAATTTCGCCATGGGTGGTAAGGGCCTTGAAGTTGGGGGCTATGCTGGTCAGTATGCATCCAAGTGGTGCAAGGTAGTTGAATAGGTAGACCTACCGGTCGATCCAAGACGCAGACGAGGCTGTTCCTGGGGAATGGTTGCAAGGAACCGGCGAGTGAGGGGCTGAACGCGGGGCTGCACGCGAGGGAACTGCGTGAAAGACACCCGGGGCAGAGGGGTGGCTCTGGGCAGAGCGGTCAAGGCGCGGAAGCCAACACGGGGGAGAATTGATGCCATTGTGCTTGATCTGGAGCAATTGAGATGGGATGAGGAGAGAAGAAGCGTTCCGAGAGCTTCCACTGCTCCAACAAGCTGTTTGCGTGATTGCATCAGCGAGTGGGGGGAACACTAACCGGATTCGGCTGCTAGCACGTGCTGATTCCTGAGGCAGAACCAGACATTGGCATACTTTCTGCCTGAGGATGCCAGGCGCTTAAATATTTAGCCCTCTCTACCTTGTATGCCCACAGATCCACTCATCCTCTAGTATCAACGGCATGCTAATCGAGAACCATTCAAACCTTGGCGAGGTCGATACGCTCGGGCTTGGGTGAACAGCCAAGTCAGAACAGATAGACAGGGACTTTTTTGCTAGTCTTGTTTCCGAATGGTGTTTTGACTCCGAAGCCGAGAGCCGAGACTCAGATATATATCAACAATGAAGCAGTCAAGCCGTCCACATACCATACTGAGCAGTCTCACTCCCCTCCTTTGTATTTGGGAATCAAATCGGAACAAACAAACAACCGTAATCATGGAAAAGCTTAAATCGCCCAAATCGGCCAACTCGCAGATCAATGGGCAGAATACAGCCTATACTACGCCGCCGAATAGTGGTCTCCAAGCCTGGCTGCAGGTGGCAGGCTCGTTCTTCCTCTTCTTCAACTCATGGTACTATTTTCATGCTACCACGCTATACTTCAAGGCATTCTTCTCATGACTACCTTTGCGAACCACAGGGGAACGGTCAACACATACGGTGCCTTCCAAGCCTACTATGAACTCGGCCTGCTTAAGGACCAGTCCAACTCAGACATCTCCTGGATTGGTGCAATCCAAGCTTTTCTCCTCCTCCTGATCGGAGTCATTACTGGTCCTCTCTACGACTCGGGTCACTTTTACGTTCTCATTCTCACCGGCTCCGCCCTCATCATTGTCGGATTCATGATGCTCAGCGTCTGCACCTCATACTGGCAAGTCCTCCTCGCTCAAGCGTTCTGTATCGGACTCGGGAATGGATGTCTCTACATCCCGTCTGTGGCCATAATTCCACAATACTTCTCCTCGCGGCGTCCAATTGCCACAGCCCTGGCCGCGTCGGGGAGCAACCTCGGAGGTGTCCTCTATCCTATAATCTTCCGTCAACTCCAGCCTCGCATCGGCTTCGGTTGGGCCACACGAACCATCGGCTTTATAGCTCTCGGAACGACTGCTTTTTCCATGTGCGTCATGCGCGTGCGCCAAACCCCCAGGCACAGACGCGTCTTGACCGAATTCTCCGCCTTCAAACAGATTCCATACACCTTATTCTGTGTGGCCATGTTCTTCGGTTACATTGGCTTCTTCAACCCTATCTTCTACATCGAAGCTTACGCCATCCAAAAGCATGCTGTAGGCGAGCCCCTCGCTTTCTACCTTGTCGCAATCCTCAACGCTGCATCCGTTCCGGGGAGAATCGTTCCGGGGTTACTAGCCCCGAGACTCGGCCCGTTGAACATACTGCTGGGAAGTGCTATCATCAGTGGCGCGTTGTCGCTATGCTGGATTGCTATCACGGACTCTGGCGGCTTAATTGCATTCGCAGTCCTCTATGGATTTTTCTCCGGGGCTTTCGTTGCACTTCCCGCTGTGGCTTTGACCTCCCTCACTCCGAACCTTGATACCTTGGGAACGAGAATGGGTATGTGTTCGGTGTTGTGTGGGTTGGGGTCCCTATGTGGTTCACCTGTTGCAGGTGCCATTCTGGATAATACGGGGTCGTATCTGGGTGTGCAGCTATATTCAGGGGTTAGTATTGGACCTACGGGTGTGCTGCTGCTTTTTACAGGAATGTCGAGAAAGGACTGAAGGACCTAGTTAATGGGAATTATTGTACTCCAGTAAGGCTGAATTCTATGTCCTCTATGGAAGAATTATTCTTTTATTTCGTATTCAATCTATTCCCATGAGAGATGTAGAGGTATCGATATTGGTCTTCGCGCAATTATAGTATACTAGCCAACAACGATTCAATAGATTAGAGCACTAACAATACTATAGTCATTGACTCCCCTCCCCCTGAAAATTCCTGGCCTTTCTAAATAATATACTCGGGACTACATACCAGCAATCCATAAAACTGACATACAATCTCAAATGCAGAAATTCTATCTGTTGCTCATCGTAATTACCAAGGGCACAGTGGTCGTAATTCGACGTGGAAAGATCGATTCCCTTCCGACTTGATAGTATACTCGGACCTCAAGCTCGTAGCTTCGGCCCACCATACACGAATGAAAGGTGGGCACGAAAGGTCTGTCAGGGGAGAGACTGAACGACACCGGAACAAGGGCCTCATACGTCATCTCAATTTGTGAATCCGTTTTTGTGGGACATGGCACAGCCTCCCATGTTATACTAGACATGTCTTGGGTGGCGATATGCAGACTCTTCGTGTAAACACTCGATTGTTGACTTTGGGTTTGATAAGAGATATCCGGGCTAGGAGACAGACCAAAAAATGTCGATGCACGTATGGAAATAGTCAAATTGTGTAAGTGAGGATGAACTCCCGAGGCTGAATAGTACCGGAGTCGAAGGGGAATAGTGGCCTCTGTAGGTCGTTGTCGGTGAAGGTGCATGGTAAGCGATCCTGCCTGCAGAATCTCACTGACGAGGCGGCCTTCTTTTCGCCGGAAGATGTTACGTACGATTTGGGCTTTCATTGGGGATTTATGCTTTTCCAGAGCCAGTTGAGAAGGCTCATTCGAGTCACTTGTTGCAGGAGTGAAGGCCGGGGGTGGCCTCTCTGACGAAAGAGTGGGAATAACATATATCTCCCTAATAGTGCTGAGCACCGGTTTCTGATCTTTCTGACAAGCTTGGAGAGTTGCCTTGATGCAGTAGCGAATCTGTACCGCATTTGGAGTAAGAGTGTCGGTTTTGTTGCTTTCGGTGGCACATGGAATTTTGCCCCCTAGAGAAGGAGGCAGCGCTGTATGCGCGTATCGCACGAGTGGATCAGTCACGACGTGGCTACATGATTCAGTGGGCAGAGCTGATGGGATGACGAATGTAAATGGGAAAGTCCCAAGAGAATCGACTCGCGTCTTCTGGCTGAGACGCAGAAAAGTCTGGGTGCTCTGAAGTTTGACTCCTACTTCATGCTGCAGGGATACTGTGGTCACCCCTGTATAAAGCAGAATATTAGCAGTGTCTCTGGAATAGGCAATGTAAGGACTTTACCTTCAAGCATGATCAATAGATCGGAGTAGTGGTTATTGTTCTCCACATGAGTACTGATCTCGCCTGAGATCATATCCCCATTGGAGAACACGCATAATGCACCATCTGAATTGCCATGTATATGTACCCGGAGTTTGGATCTTGCCATTTTTCTGAATAGATCGTTGGGGGTATTGGAATGGCATGTCGGTGTCGAGTCGAACACATGAATATATGTTGTTTGGCCGTAGGGTACGGGTATCGGATTCGGCTTTCGGCTGTACGAAACAGTTAACAGGAACCCAGAAGCGATTAAAGCACCACCTAATGGCCACTGTGATTACCAGGATGTTGAGGCCTTACTGAGCGGCTTATCGGGGCAGAGCCAATCGGGAATGATTATGGTCATCCCGAACGCCGAGTGGCTTTCCGGCACTAACGACTAGCATTATCTACCACCGACGCTGTGGAAGTTCTTTGATTTGTGTCGGTGCTATCTGGTAACCTTCGGTGCTATGCCTCCTCTGCGGCGGCGCAACGGTCGCAGGGCTGCCTGTGAGGCCTGTCGCAGACGGAAACTAGCTTGTGATCACAATCAGCCGACATGTCAACGATGCCAGAAGCATTCACTCGAATGCATCTACCTGTCACAGTCGACCAGCACAAAATGCGCGTCCTCGAAGGAAACTCCGCAATCACTTGTAGGACCAGGTGTCCCCTTTCCTGAGGTGCATGCAGCACCCCCAGAGAACCACCGGGCTGCGGACCGGAGCACGTCCCTTATCGAAAGCTCGAACGAATACCTGGGACCGACGAGCTTTACCTCGGTATTTATAGAACATGGTGATTGCTTTGAGTTGGAGGATGCCAACAAAACTTCAGGAATACGACGAGACCCGGCTCCAGATCCCCAAGTTGACACACCACTTGTGCAGCTCGGCGCTCGGATTCTGAGCCATATACCGGAGGAGCGCAACTGCTCCATGCTCTTTTCAAGCCACATCAATCCCAACGATGGCTGGGTCCGGCTGGCAGGGCATCACTCCTCGGACAGAATGTGGAATGCTTTCCGGCCAGCGCTACGACGACGGTCGGAAGAAGACATGCTGGAAACAGCTGCAATTCTCACCCGGAATAGCAAAATACCGCTACAAAAAAAGCAAGATCCGCACTCCTGGCTGGCCTCCTTTACAGGGACACAGATGCGATGGGAAACTCTTGGCATTTTGTATACCTACTGGGCTTGCGGAGCAATCTCCTCGTCGTCGGAAAGTCAAGCGGTCGCCGAATATTGTCAGGCACATTCATCTGTTACAAACGCCAAACAACTTATGACGCACTTCAAACGCTGTGCATCGTTATGCATTGATCTATGCAAACAGCTTGGCTCCATCAATCTTCTTTTTGTGTATCTGTTGTACAAGCATAATATTCTGGAGGGCATTCTGAGCGGTGACAAGAGTAGGTGGCACAATAGATCAAATATGCCTCTTGTCTAACCCAGGTAAGGTTTCTCCCACTGGACACAGCATGGCGAGCTAGTCGCCGTGACTACTTCTCTCGGACTTCATCGCGAGCTTGCAACAGAGGCAGAAACTGTGAGTCTCCCATACGAACTGAAAAGGAGGCTCTATGCCGCTGTTTTCAATATTGACAAGGTCATTTCGACTTTCACGGGGCGGCCCCCTCTCTTGAGTCGGGCATACTCATCTACCAGGCTGCCATTAGATCTGAGTGATGATGCCCTATTGTCTAGCGATCTTCCGTCTGCCGCTGCGCAGTTAGACTCCTGCGGATGGAACAGAAACAACCAGATCTACTCTACAACAATCTTACGATCGCGCACGAGCTTTGCCCGTATCCGACATGAGGTCTTGGAGGTTTTAGAAAGTTCAATGGATGATCTGGCTGATGGATCCGTCAATAAGGCCATGTGCGTTACTCCAAGCCACGCACGTACCTTCTAACATTAGTACCAGAAATTTAAAGCAACGGTCCCATGACACATACGTGCAACTTCCTTCCGTGATTCAATTTTCGAAGTCCGAGCTTAGCAACACCAATGTTTCCGGATATGTCCTCTATGCACAGATCCTTACGCGTTTGGAATATCTCTTGAACCTATTTCTCTTGGAACGGCTGTTGAAGCGACACAATATCGTCACCGGGCAAGACCTTGTCGAAGTGAGTCATGAAATGCTGGACTTGACCTTGATCTTCTGGAGGAAGAAAGACCGATATGTTGGTCTGTACGCTGACTTTGAGTGGCTGGTACGTATTCGGGTTCCCTGTATCTATGATAGAACTCGAAACAGTTATTTGTGTCTCTAACACGACTACAAGACAATGTCGTATGCGATTCCAGCAAGCGGCATCCTCTGTCTGGAGCTCCTGCGACAAGCCACACACCCGCAAAGCTGTCAAATACGCCTTCCACGATCACCAAGCATTCAGAACCTTAGCCTGCTGGTGGTATGTCTGGACTGGATCGAGACTGAGGCTTCCAGCAAGAGCATCGTACGTTCCATACGGAGGATCCTGAGTCGGTCTTTGGACCGGATATTGGACCCCGATCCGCCTGGAGTTGAGCAGCTGCAGTCTGTGGCACCGTTTCTGGATGATGAGCTCCCGCAATATCCACATTTACAGTTGCTGAACACGTTTGACTGGGTTGATTGGGATGGTGGTATTGGTGATTGAAGCTTAGGAGAAAGGAGGAAGGTTATTCAGACCCAAGCGGATTACTGTCCAATGTGAAGAGCTGTAGAACAGGTCTACTTGTCAGACAAACGACACGGTATGATAAGCGTCAGCTTATAGTAAATGCCTCACTTAAACTCGTAGAAATCAAAACCGAGCGGATGGTTATTGGGCCAGATCTGAAGGTCTAGCTAGGTCAGAGGCTGTATGAAGGGGGACGACAGCGACTTAAGAGGCTTCACCTTCCTATTATCACGCGACTCTGATATTGGACTAATGAGTGGATTGAGACCGTTGTACTTTCATGGCTCCTTCACTTGTACACTCATCCATAGCTCTAGTATTAAAACAGTACTATTGGACCCGATGTATCTGCCGTCGGCAGCTGTCATTATCTGGAAGGGTACCTTAAGAATTTCCTAGCTAACCGATTGCTAGTCCTTGTCATTCCTATCGGAAATCCTTTCCATTTCTGGAATATCGACAAGTATGACCCAGATTTGAGCTACTCCATTCGACCATCCGTCTCGAAGCTCTGCTATGGAGGCTCTTTCAAGCCCTAAAACTTCTTACCACAGTGACATTATTGATGACTATACCGAGGTACTCCGCAACTGAAGACACCACTACTACGGTTTACTCTTGATCAATCATTCTTGTTTCTTCCGTTGTGCTGATTTCCTCACCGCAAATATTTCCAGCATTTAATTAGTGTGCTTCGCAAGCTTTAGGCTAGATTCTACCACACTGCGAGAAGACTGCTGACGTATCATATTGTTCCGAGTATACGAGTCACCAACACCTGCACGGGCTTACGATAGATATTCCAGCTCATACAAACTCGACCTCATTTTCTACTGGATCAATCAATTGGCCACACCACCTCATTTGGATTACTCTCAGGCAGCTTAGAGTTGAAGACCGGTTTACTGAGAAAGGATCTCACCATAAGCTCAGATCCCACAGCTGAGGGTCAGACATAGCATCTCGATCGGGGTTCCTGCATATAAATCAGGGCCGAAGGAAAAGCAACTCAGGGTTCAGATATACGTCGACTTAGTAGCTGATTGGATCAGATCCCTTTAATCGGGTTGAACTATCTTATCTCAATATTTATACAGCATACATTCCTCACACGAGACTCATACCTCATTCCAAACTGATACAGACGCCAGGGCTATTCAAGCTGGACCCCTCTCTTTTGGCTCTTCCCTCTCCTCCACCTACATATATCCTTCTGTAACTTCTCTCGCTCTTCTTTCTCTACCTGAAGTACTCTACTCCATTTCCTTCCTCTCTCATACGGTACCCTCTCATCTACAACTACTATCTACCAATAACTACCATCAACCAAGCACACGACTACTCGACACTCCCAAGCTCACTCAAACCCTTACAACCAGCTTAACGACCGCTCAATCTTTACGTCACGTCGACATCGCACCTTGACCGATCAATCTTCACATCCTCCCAGAGCCAATTTTTGAACATGTGCACCAATCTGCAGATTGCGTTCTCCTGCGGCTGTCAGAAGGAGATGGACTTTATTCAGTGTAAGGAACGCCAGGGAACAAATGTCAGATGCACCCCCTCCGTGAAGGCATTGGGAAAAACCTCGCCAAATTATTGCCGGCGCCACCTCGTACCTCCTGGTGCGCCGACGACCTACGTTGAGAACAAGGAAGTGCAGGAAGGCGACGAAATTATGGCTACTGAATAATGAGAAATGGTATGTATATGGCTTTCTCTGATGTATTTCTTCACTATCATGATATGTGCTGACTTCAAGTGTGTTCTAGGAATCTCTATCTACTTGGTTTTGGTTGGTCCGCTGAGATTGGATATTTCGGAAGGTTTGGGGAGTCCCAGGGCTATGCATAGTGCAGGGCTTTTAGTTTATTCTGGTAATTAGGAAGGAGCTATAGGGACGTTGATATACTGCTCATTGTGACCTTTCCTGATCTAAGCATCGTACACGAATGCGCTGGAGGAACTTTAGGGGAGGATAGCATTCAGTTCACCTCACCATCACCTTCACGATAAGTCAAACATTGATCAGGTGTTGGTAATGCACTTCAACTAAGCATTTAGCTGAATTGTACCACATGTAGTAGGAATATCCTCTTTATCCTTCCATCTTTCTTAGCTTTTCCTCCCCTTCCTCCTCCAGGATCCAATCTACTACATCTCCCCAGCAGAAAGGATCAACATGGACCCCCAGAGAGTACAGACTTCGACTTCTCAACCCGAAACTATCCCAGAAGATGAGATCATTGAGCTCACCTCCTACCACCGCCGCGACTTCGACCTAGCAGTCATCCACATAAACCGCCGCGCCCATGAATCCGTCCGCAGCACTATAGCCCAACCCCTCAAAGCACCATCCACAAGCCTGGGCCAGCTCTCACTCCTACACCTAGAACTCATACACGAAATCTGCCTCTATCTCGACATCGAATCCCTCTTCCGATTACGCCAAGTCAGCCGTCGCGCCCAACAAATCGTCAACACCAGTCGCTTCTACCGGGAGACAACAACACACGCACTCGACGCATTCTGCGCACTTCTAAGAACAAAGATAGCAAACCAATTCACCCTTACCGAGCTGTCCACCGCGCTCTGTACGCGCGACTGTCTCCTCTGCGGCAGCTCATTCGGAGGCTTCCTCTTCCTCCCGACCCTCCTCCGCTGCTGCTTTTCATGTATCCAGAAGGATCGCCTGCCCCGGCTCGTGCCTTACGCCGATGCAAAATGGTATATTTCGTCGAAGTGTAAGACAGCTTCGAAGGCATATCGCTTACTCAAGTCACTTCCGATTCTTCGGACCATACCGGGGATCTACTCCATGCAGGAGGTATCGAGCAAGGGAAGGAGACAACTAGTGACTATGGACGATCTTATCCGGGTGGTTGGGTCTAAGCCTACTAGTGATGAAGAAGCTACTTGGACTGCGGCTAAATCATATTCCAACTTGCCATTCATGGCGACGACTACCTTACCTTATCTTGATCGGGCTAGTGGGCGCATCGAGCACGGTGTTTGTTGCACTGGGTGCCAGGTTTCTCTGGAAGAGGGCCTTACGAAGGGAATGCGTTTTGGGGCTGATGGCTTGGCTTTGCGTGATAAGGTTTATTCGCATGAGGGTTTTATAGGGCATTTTAGAGAGTGTCTGAAGGCCCAGGAGGTGTGGAGATTGCGGGAAATGGGGACATCTGTTGCCAAGGTTTCGGAGTTTGTGCGTCGCAGAGGGTATTTTAAGGAGAGGGACGTCGTTATGTCGTTTGATCCGGCCAATAAGGCATAATTTATGGATTATGGAAGATATCTTGCGCTGGTCTGTTGGACGATCTAATTTACTATTTAGATACAGATAAGTACTGAAATAAATGATAATTACAACGACATCACCTCGCTTGCCGTTTCTTCCCCTCCTCTTAGCCGACTGTTCCGAACAGAGAACTTCGATCTACCCCATCCCAGGATGGTATATCAAATTGCAGAACGATCCGACTGGTACCAGTCCGTCTAGTAAAGAGGCAGGCTGTATGCGTTGAAGTCATACTGCCAGGTGTCAATCGAGGCCTGGTCGTACACACATTCCATGACCGTGCCATTGTTCTTCCACAAGGGACGGAGGGGCCAGGCGCAGATCTGGGCGTTGCTGCCCTTCTCCTCGCCCGAGAGGTAAGTCGCGTTCAAGGTAACGGGCACCACTCCATTCTCCACCCAGTCAATCATCACCGCCATGTTATCCTGGGGCCAGGGTCCCGGCTCATAGGCGTTGGTCGCGCAGTGACTAGCGCCAGGGACCAGGTACAGGCGGTAGAAGCTAGCCATAGCGTCCGTGCTCTGGTTGTAAATAAGATCCGGATACATGATCTTGCGGACGGACTCGTGATAATGAACGGAGGATCCAGTCGGGATACTGGGGTCCGACTCCCCGTGGTAGTGGATGATCTTACCACCGGCCTCCTTAAAGGCGCTCAGGTCGGGGTAGGTAGTCTGCAGGGAATCACCATAACGGCGCCAGCCCAGCTCCATCCAGTCGCGGAGGGTGTCGTAGGTGACGTTATCCAGGCTTGAGAGGTTATCGGCTTCGACCAGTTCCAGGAAACGGGCGACCCACTCGCCGCTAAGCGCGTCGATGTCGAGCTCATAGCTGTCGGTGTCGCTGTTGTACTGGGTCTCGGCGTCACTGAAGGCAGAGGTGATCTGGAACCAGATGTAGGCCCGCTTGCCATCTAGAGTGTGGAGACCCTTGAGCATCGTGGCGGCTGCCTCGGCGCCCTTGGCACTCACCGTGCCGTTCTGGGCCGGGGTGGCGTTGGAGACAGTCAGGCGCTTGGCGTGGGAGGATCGCTTCTTCAAATTATCGCTGGTAGTCTCGGCGGCGCAGTAGTAAGGCTCCCCGATGGTGGAGTTGAGGTCAAAGTGCAGCTGGCAGAGGTCAGTCCGCGCGACGACGCCGTCCTTTCTGCCATCCAGCTCGTCACAGGCAGCTATTGTCAGGTTCATGATCTTCTCCAGTTCACAGTACGGGGGGTAGTAGCCCAGCGTCTGTTCAACCACGTTGGGGAAGAGGTGATTGACCTGCTGCTGGCCGTAGCGGATCGCCGGCGCTCCGATAATAGCACCATCCCACTCCTCGGGGAACCGTTGCACCTGGCTCCACCCCTCGCGGCCGCCCTCGGAACAGCCCATGTAGTAGGAGTAGAGCTTGCTACTGCTCGTGGTAGTGTTGAAGAAATTTTTGGTGAAGGCCTTGCCGATAACGCTGAGCTCATGGTGTGACTGGTAGCCGAAGTTATAGATCGCATCCCAGTTGATCGTGCCATTAGCGCTGGGGAATACAGCGTCCAGGTCGGTTGTGAAGGCCCCAAACCCTCCATCTGTGATACCGGCAGCAGCACCGTAGAGGAGGCCGGCAGGCATCAAGTCGCCCTCCAAGTTGATGGCGAAGCCACCACCGCCCGTAGACAACCACCGATTCTGGTAGGCATCGGGGGCGGGCAGCCAGATGCCCAGAAGAATCGAGTCGTCACGGCCCGCGTGCGAGTAGGCGAATGTCACGTTGCAATAGTCGAAGGTGCCATCCGGGTAGAAGGTCTGGTCGCTCACGGAGACGTTGTAGACGGGGCTCGCGGTCACCGAGCTGGTCTTGATCTCAAGTCCAGTGAAGGCATCCAGAGGCAGGGAGGACTGCACATGCGAGACGGTGCAGACATCCGCAAGCGACGTCGCCTGTGCGCCAGCAACAAGCGCGGCGGCAGCGATGCTGCCTGCCAACTGAGTGGATTTCATGATAGTAAAAGCGAGTGGCAGGAAAATGAGAGGAATAGACTGCGGGTGAGTCTTTGTGATCTGTGTGTGTGATCACATCAACCATTGTAGCAAGCCGATGTTTATATACCTGTCTCAAGATGTCCTCAGTATTGTACTGGCGAGTATAGAGGCCGGCCCTCCTAGACTCTTTCCATATCAATATCTGTGAGGGAGCATATGGTGCTCCTGCAATCTCCCAATCCCGCCCAGGACTACCTACGGTTTAGCAGGTTATATTGGTGCAGGAAGGAAACGACCTCTCATGATTGGTCTAGGAGCCAGGTACAAGCTCATGCATGTGGTGCCACGCGGTACTATCTGATCAAATAGAAGGTAGGGCTGACGCGGCAGCAAAGCCTGTTCGGCGAGCATACTTCTTAGGGTGAACGGAAACGATGATATACCGCTTTCCGACCGCCATTAAGCATTGATCTGCAAACCGATCATGGTAAAGCGGGGGGTTTTCTTCAGGCACGGGTGGTAGGGATGGCGGAGACTAACCTCTTTGCAGGCAAGATTGACATGGTGAGACCCGCAATATATTTTCGGGTGGTGGTTTGTTTCACCTTAATATCGGATAAACTTATTGTCAACCATGTATTAAGCTCTTCAGACCATGTCATGCGGCAAACCTAGCGTCATTCAATTAAAGCTTCGCGCAATGAAGACCTTCATCAAGTGGGTCGATTTGTCATAGGCTCACGGGCTTACGATTAAGGGCGATAGTGGCAGTTGAGCCATAGGTAACAGACAGCTTATTGTCAAGAGATTCTGATATGTATTCAGAAAAGTTACGAAATGATTGATGGCCGTTTGTACCTGCATATAGTATGCTAATGACTTGGAAGCAACCCTTTGTGTCTATAAAGGTAGAGGTTACTAGATACCTACACTATGTTATTTGGAATGAGTTCATTGGCAGTTGAGAGACACTTAGCCTGATGCGATATAACTGCTCAACCCATTGCAGATGTATTCTTGCACCTGTGAGGCCTCATTAGCGTAATGTGCCTGGTGGCTCATGTGATGTTGTTATACCGGATCCTTTTCTGGATATTGATACTTTGACGAGTGATGCTCAGTCTCTCCTTCGTCCTTTAATAGACCCGCATTGTGACGAGGCCACATACCAGCCCCCCTCTTCGTCTCTGACACCAGCCTTTCCATCCTTTAACGTTTCTTCAGAACATCTAATCAAACCTCCTGAGACCGCTGACCTGATGTATTACTATAAAGAATATAATTTTACTCTCATTACCTTCGAGGAATTGCCGGTAATCGTTCTGGCAGACAGTCTATTTACTAGATATAATAAGTATATTCACAGATCTCAATATTCACCATATTATAAGCTACATTAAGCTGTCATTATTCTATTCACTTCTTACTGCCAGCTGCCTCCATAAATATACATATAATTATTCTACTGGTGACCGGCACATATCAGCAAAGTATTTTAAAGAAACTGCCAAGCAACATCTCAAAGTAGCCCTGAACCAGGAGGTTGTAGGATCTAAGCCGGCTAAGTACGAGGAGATACTGATGGCTGTTCTAAGCATGGTCATGCTCTCGGTACGTGCTGTTCTACTATACTAACTGGGTCTTCCAGCATCCCAGGATGGTGGAAAGCGAGCTTAGACACGGATAGAAGTACGCTGGCTGCCGCTTCATCGTCGGGCGACTTGCTCAACCCTCAAGGTGAGCCTGATCACCCGAGTACTCCTGTGGAAATCTCAAGATACCCTGACCGGCAGTTTTTAACAGCGATTGGTTCTATGGTCAGTCACTCTGGTCTGCCACTCAGAACACCGGCGCTTTGGCGGTCAGGTATAGCCACAGACAATGCAAGACATAGTTGCTGCCTAAAACGCCCCATCACGGTTCTAACCTGCAATCCGAAGTTGCGTTGCCTTTCAGCCCACACACTTTGTGCCCGAAGACGCAGGGGTGCGAGAGGTTCTCGCCAACCTCGCCACCCCCAACAGTGAGAAAAGTCAACACTGACACTAAATCCAGAAATCTCTCGACAAGCGGAATCTGAGAACCAGACATGAGTATGTAGACGTTGACCGGAGATTACGGAGTCCATGACTTGTTGCGGTCAAAAAGAGGTCTCTTTTGTTTCTGAGAATCTGCGGAAATGACAATATCCAAATACATGAATCGACTAAACTAAATACCGAAATAGGAGCTGTTTAATATTAATGCTCAGTCGCTGTGTTGCAGGAATCCGGAAGGATCGCTGCATCTTGAGGGATCTGGGGTAGTTACCGGGGTTCCGGTCGACAGTACTAGGCTTCATTCACCAACGCGGCAAGGGCATTGGAGGGTCATTGAGAAGCAAATCTTTATCGACTCCAGGCATCGCTATCTGAAGCCGAGAAGTAATGGAATGTGGGTCCATATTCACCCTTGGCGAAGCGAGATAAGGAGCACCGTCAGCAACCCACATACTCGGGGAAAGATCAGGATATCGGAAGGGTAAACTGTGACTAGACGAGGCGGGAGAAGAAGCTATTATTGGAGATGGGTGGATTGGAGGTTCAATAGCTGTGCTATCCAAAGGCTGGGGAAGCCTAGCGCCCATACTAGTTGGTTTGGTTTGTTCTTCGTTTGACCCAGAAGTGGTGGACGAAAACGGCATGGAGGATGGCCTTCTTTTCCAAGATTTGGTGGCGCGCCGAGGTTTAAGTACAGCACCGTGCTCTATGAGGTAATCCCTGATTTCTCCAGGGTCTTCTCCAATAATTGCAAGTGGTGTCGCCCCAGAATCAGAAAGCGTGTTCACATCCACACCCGCTTCAACAAGAGCCTTCACAGCGTCGATCGATCTAGCCCAATTCTAAAAAATTCATGCCAGCTCTTGGTATCATTATACAATTGAGATGGGCACTGTCTCGGATGTTAAAGTTACTAGCAGAGCCCACGAGAAAGGTGTTTGACTGGATCGGTTCATCCCCCGTCGAAGCAGACGACGGACGTCATCGATATGACCGCCAGCGGCAGGGATGTAAAGACCATTGACGGAATTAACCGTGGTATTCACATGGGCATCAACATTGATCAGCGTCTGAGACACCGCTCCATGCTCTTTTGATGTACAAATCTGGGTCCACACCGTTTGCCCGTCGCGGCGTCTGTTATTGATATTTGCTCCTCGGGCGATGAGAAATGAAACCATCGCTGGGTGATTATGAAGCACCGCTATCCCAAGGCATGTCTGTCCCTTGGAATCACGAGAATCTACATTGGGCTCATTGTCAAACAGGGCTGCTGCCGCATTGACGCAGCCTTTTGCCGATGCGATGAACCTCGCAGTACGGACGGTATCAGCATAGATATCCTGCGGTAGATTCCGTAGTTGTAGCTGAACTCGTTCAAAGTCATCCTTGTATGAGGAGTGCAGGATGTCGAATCCTAGAACCGGCAGTAGACGAGGTGTATGACGGGGATGTGATTGGAGATCTCAAGTATCCGTAATGAGCCGCTCAGCAACCGAAGTATATAGTTCAGCCAGATTTCTCCGGGAAGTAGAAACATTCATTTGGCCCCATAGAGAGAGGAAAGACCCACAGTCTTGCATGACTTCAGCAAGCAATCTAATTTCGGTCAGCTCTTCTTTGTCTGTTATGTGACTTTCAAGTGATGCAGGTTGGCTCGACGATGGGGGCTCGCTTGGTCTCGCCGAAGTGTCTTGGGGCTGGCTTGAGGTCGAACCAGCAGGCGTTACGATGCTGTAGCCTTGAGGTGTTGCTGGACTTGCAGCTGGAGAATGTCAGTATATTCCGGATACCTATATCAGCCGGATTTAGATGACTGACCTGCTGCGCGTGCTTGATCATAAGTCGACACCTGCCGCGGGATATTCTTCTGGATAGTTTTCTCATCGATCGCTTTTCCGTTCAAGAGGATCTGGGTCTTCTTCTTGGGATTTTCATGACTGCGCTTTTCAAGGCGATGATTGGCCCAGATGTAGAAATCGCGATTGTTGTTTTTACGCAGTTTCCATTTCCTGAAATGGCGTTTGTAGGTGTCCTTGCTATCCAACCGATCAATGTCAGGGGGTACGGCGGTAATGGAATGGGTCTGAGATAGAAGACATACCTCGCAAGAATGCCGAAATTACTTTCCATGAAGTCCATCAGCTCGTCGAGAGTCAGATCTTCATCGACGTAGAGCCTTTGGACGGTGTCTTTGTGGTCGGACAGACTCATTTCGGATTGCGAGAGGGGTAGAGGGCTGGGATTGAAATTTAGGGTTGGATAGAAAACCCAATGGGTAACGACTTGATCAGAGAATCGGAGCCTTCTTATATTCCCGCCTGCCCCTGGTCAAGCCCCCTTGTGGTGGACTGCTGGTCAGGAGCCGACAGCCTTACCTTCCTCGGGCTGTATACTTCACGCTATGCATCGAGGTGGGCCGCACTTCTGGTCTGCACCAATCGTGGTTCTTCCCCGGGCAAATACTCACTCAGCCACCACATGCTGTGTCCTGCCAATTGGCTCAAGCCAGAAATGCGACTCCATTTTCGACGGATCTTGGTCCAGGGCTGAAGCAATCTCCGGCTCCTCTGGGCTTGGGTTTGAGATCAATACACGGTTTTCGCGGCTTCTTCGCGGCTTCTGTAGAATCCGTAGAATCATTCAAGATAAAAGGCTGTCAACCCCAATGCATCTGTTTCCTTATTTTTTTTTTCCCCTCCACCTCCAACATCGAGACTGACGCTTCTAACAAGAATGTCTTTATCAGCGGAAGCAGTTATAGGCCTACTCGCTTTATTGGTCGCCTGCGTTCCTGGGGTGTGTTGGATAGTCCGACACATCCGACACCAAAGACGGCCAAGTAAACATCTAACCCGCTCAACTGTCATCTTCATACAGCTAACCCCCAGCTGTTGACTCCCTCTAGGCCAGAACCGTCATGAGAACCCCGAAACTCACCAAAGCAATCTTCATTCCCTCCGTCCCAGTGAATCTTCTCCTCCGACTCAATCGGTAACCGGTCGATCATTTTATCGGCAATCAAACCGTACCTCTCAGCCGAATCTTGTCGAGCTTCTGCAGACTTTTTTCTCCCAGAACCGCGCCCCCAATCACGATCTAGAATCCGGGATCCTGTTATACGCCCGAGTAAGATTCCTCAACACAAACGCTTGTTGAGAATTCGACTGACGGGTTTCCGAATGTCCCCAGACCTTCTACTCAGATCGGTTTGAATATATGGAGCCGTTGATGGGGACTAGTACCGCGACTGGCGGTGCCGAACATACAGGCCAGCACGAGCAAGTCCAAAGTGCCTGGGAGAACGGACGCCAAACTCTTAACGCACCACAGTGATCATTACTACTATCGCACCCCTCATCAGCGGATACTCCGAGCTCCACTGTGGCCTATCTTCCTACCACTCGTCAATAATAGATCGATTGGCCTGGTTCTCAAGCCTGACAGATCTCTCTTGTCCAACCTTCTTGCGAAACTGTGGTGGCATTCACTATTATCGGCGATGTGTATGTATGAGTAATGCTAGTATAGTATACAACACTTTCTTCACAACAATAAGGCTGAACTTCAATGGTCATCTTTTCAATATTTGTCGTAGTCATCATGCTTGTTACTGCAATGGTCCCCACCCGTTTGGTTTTTTGGCGATAGGAACACGCTTTTCTTGGGTACAGCTAACCGCTTTTTGTCCGTTTCAAATTGAGCAACATCCAATGATATTAATTTCTTTGCCGGCGACCTGCTCCCACATAGTACACGATATTATCTTGCTTCGGGACTTTATTAGACGCGGACTTCCTAGGTTTTGCTTCGATGCATCCAAGGGACGCCCTAAACTTTTTTGAATAGATATGAGAAAATGATTAAGATAAGCTATCACGAATGAGTCAGACCATTGCCTTATCAAGAAGAACTAAGTCACCATCTCCATTAACGAAATACTGTCAGGCAAGGTCCGAAAGCGCCTACCGTAGATGATTTACTTATTGTACGAAAAGCCCGTATTGTTCCGCATCACATGCACAATATTGGCTACAAGACATTGACGGCAATGCTTAATAGATTGGTAGGTATCCCTCGTTCAAGAGCGCCTCCTACTCAAGAGCCGAGTCTTCTAATTGGTCAGTATATATATTGCTCTACCATCTATTTCCCTTCTACCTGTCCGCATTGAAATTGGTCTGCCTCCCGTCATGTATAAGTCGGGACGAGAAGAGATGATAAAGAAGAAACAAAAGTCATCTCACACGTTTGCGCTATTGATAATAAGATTCCGGAACGAATCACCCTTCCCGAGTGAATAGCTGATCACTTGCCAGTCATCGAGGACTATGGCTATTTCCGTCTAGCCTATCTTGTGCACATGCAAACCACACCTGAAGTATATGTCCAATATACCCATGCTTTCTGTCCCAGCCCGGTATCGACACCTTAGTTAAGTGATACCAGCGGTGACGCTGTAACAACATGTGTGCTCAATTCCAATATGCTCTTTGAGGTCAAATCTTCCAACGAAATATTTGTGCCGAGTTCTCTTTCCAGCCAATTCCGGAATTCCATCTCAATCAAAGAGTCGACCCCATTGGTCCGAACATCATGGAATTCGTTAATCTCGTCTTCGGTGACATTAAGAAGGTTCGACAACTTCTGTCGAATCTCCCTCGACACGATAGCTGCTGCCTGTTCGGTGTTGTTGGTCTTGTTCAGGAGGTCGCCCACACTAGGTCTTCTCGCGGATTCTGTTGGCATGCTTGCCACTCGCGAACGGAAGCTAGGAAGTTGATGGAACAAGGGAGTGGACAAATATCTCATCAGTGGCTTTTCTAAGTCTTTGTATGATGCTGGGGTTGGGACATTGCAGACCATCTGACAGGAATCCACGGTTGATGGGTTTCGAATATCCGTCATATAGTCGACTGCCGCTAAGATTTCCTCCTCTTTCATGTCCCGGACGTTGATACTCGCAGCGTGCAAGCCATGTGAGAGTCTATGACGAACTAGTGCATCCTGGAATGCACCGGCTGCGCTAAAGTCGCTGTCATTAATACTTCCTGTAAGCCCGGACATCGATGAGATCATGATGAAGAAATCAACAGATGGGATGGCATTGTGCAGATTAAGCAACTCCATGATGACACTATCAGAGCTGCTTGTTGAATGCGTGGCAACAGTCTGATTAGAAGCACCCATGCAATATGTCGACTCCAGAATTCCATGGATAGGGGGAAGCTGACTGCGCCAGTCGGCAAACAGAGACTGTATTTCGGAAGCCTCAGACATGTTGCAGTGGTATATATGTGCCTCGCATCCTCGCTCTCGCAAGGTATCAAGAATCTGCTGCTGTGTTTCCTCCCTATCCAAGCGGGGTGCACGAGACAAGAGTATCAAGTTCTTAGCACCTCGAGCTGCCATCCGAAGAGCGAGCTTGGAATGTAAAGAGTCTAGTGTTCCTATGAGGAGGTAGGATACATTTTGTTCCAACTGGGATGGTCTCGGAATTTCAGGAACAACCTGAACAACATCCTCAGAAGGACGAAGAACAATTTTCCCAGCAATTGCATCCTTCTGGTACATCTCGATACCCTGATGTATCTGGCTATACGTCAGAACTCGTCTAGGAGGTTCAAAACGAATCTTATGTTCCTCCATTAGCCGCATCATCTCTCGGAAAATATTTTGGACAGTTGCCGGGCGGCTCCTGGCGATAGAACTGAGGTTCACTTTTGATATCGTGATATTATCCATATTGCATGACGCAGTGATGTTGTGGACTGACTGCGGCCCGCCATTACCGATGGCTATCAGTCTGCCAAAAGGTGCCAGACAGCTCATTGAACCTTGAGTAGTCCCAGCGGATATATCTGATATGATGACATCCATCCCACGCGGTATTAGTCGCTTGATCTGAGCCGAGAAGGAAGTAGGACGGCTGGAGAAGATACGATCTCCCTGAACTCCATATTTCCGTGCGACATAATGTTTCTCGTCGACATTGGAGACAGTCACGTATACGTTTGCACCGAGAGACTGGGAATACTGGATCGCCGCCTGCCCAACACTACTCGCAGCAGAGTGAATCAGGATATTCTCCCCAGTGATCAACCTACCGGCGTAGCTGATAGAATAGATTGCAGTCAGCCAAGAGACAGGTAATCCAGCAGCAGCCTCGAAGGTAAGACTGTCGGGGATGCGGGTGACCAGAGACGAGTTTATCCGTATTGCTGTCCTCAGCGTTCCTTCTCTCCCTGCTTGAGTGTCACTGATACACATGACGCGGTCGCCGGACTGAAATTCCTTAACGGATGATCCGACCCTGGTTATCACCCCAGAACCTTCTTCTCCCAGGGTCATCTGGGGAAGCTTTCCTGTCGCTGCTAGGACGTCTCGAGAGCCAAGGCCGACGGCTTTAACGTCCAGGTCCACGTCATTCTCACCCAGAAAATTGTCGGAGAGAAGGTTATCGGTCTCCCAGACAAAACGGCCATGGCCTATGAGTTTAATTGGCCGATTTATGTCGCCCCATGTTAGCGGAACTGACCGTGGTGTCGATAGTCGACCCCCAATGGTGGAATTGGCATCGGCGTTGAGAGCAACACGGTTCGTAAGAATGACCCCCTGTGCAATGCGATACTCGGCATTTCTGATTGTAGGCACGGTACCTGACAGAAATTGGTGCTTGAAAACTTTGACCAAAAGTTCGGAAATTGTATTCTGGGTAACCTCTGTATCGGTCAACGAAACCGTAACAAGGTTCGAGTTGTCAGGGTCCTGCTGCAATCGTCTGTTTCGAATAAGTCCGATTGGAATATCAAATGCTGGGTTATTTGTTGAATCTCTAGTGACTAATAAAATGTTTTTGCACTTGAAGAGGACGTTTTCTAGCCTGTTGTATGATTCGATGTTCGAACCTGTTGGGATAGGAGGATTGGACACCATGAAAAGCACACATGTCCTATCTAGCACATCCACAGCTTCCACTTCCGCCAGTGTGTGTATGGGGCAATGGGGCCCCAGATATTCTATCTGGCTCTGGAACTCATTGGCCAGAGTAGAGCTTTGATCATCCGCGATGATGATGATAACACCGTTTGCCTCGCTCCGAGAGATATTGGTTCCTTCTCTAGCAGTTGAGACCATAAGGCTGATTTTTGAAAACTCTGGATAATCAGAGCTCGGGAACTCCAAGTCCAGCCCGGAAAAGCCAGACTCACGGAGATACCTATCCCATGTACTTGTTGGCACATAGGGACACCATCTTCTCTCAGGCTCGGTGCTCAGCCACCAGCCTGGCAGTGAACTGAACGATATGTTGGTCCACGAAGTATCTTGGCGGACACCTTCATGGAATACCAGCTTTCCACCGGGCTTGAGAAGACTGTGGATGTTTTTCAATGTCCTATGTAGATCGGGAGTTGCATGGAGTACATTGCTTGCCACAATCAGATCGAATGTTCCTGGGTCGAACCCCTGGGAAATGGGGTCGTTCCCAACATCAAACTTCTTGTACGTTATGATATCGTCCCACTCATCAAGTGACTCCTTCGCTTTCACGAAAAAGCCTGGAGAGAGATCAGTGAACACGTACTCTGACACTGTCCTGTCCATACCCGGTGGACAGAGATTAGTGAGCGCATGCGCTGTAAATGATCCCGTTCCGCCCCCAACTTCGAGGACGCGAAGATTGGACTTATGCCACCGGAAGAGCTCCAGGTAGAGTGCTAGCTTCTCGGAAATGGAACCAATTTCGAAATCATGTTTGTAGTACTGAGACATGAGATCATCTTGTCCGAACATGACGTAGAGTGGATCGGCTTCTTTGCGGAAGAAAGATGCAAGATTCGACCCAACCCGCATTAACAGTGCGCCATCGCTATCGCGAGCTTCCACTCTACGGTAGAGTTGTTCTTTAAGATCATGATCCTGAGCGTACTTCTGCCATGTTTTGAAAGGCACCCTTGGCATTGAGTCTGTCAGGATATCTGCAGCAATGCTTTTGAGAAGGTCGTAGAACCGGAGGTAATGGGGTTCAAGTTGGGTCTGATCCACTTCCTTCAAGCTCATGAGCGCATCAGTCGAAAGAAGTGCCGAGGCCAGCTGGAGGTCGGTGAACCACTGGCATTCCACCCTGTATCTGGCGGATTCAATCGTTGGCGGCTTGGCGAGCTGGCTGAAGAATGAGTTTGTAAGAAGATGAATGTCAGGTTTCCATTCAACAGAGTAGAATTTAGGCAATAGATCTGTCTTTGAGGACTGGATCTTGGATTCATATAGATCAAAATGCGCTCCGCTGAAGGATATCGTGGGTTCGGCAGATGAGGAGTCGATTGAAGCCTCAATATCGCAGCTATACTTGCCAAGACCCGTTGCTGTAGCTGTCCCCACGCAATTGAGTTTTGTTTTCAGTTCGTATGATATTTCGGTAGACACCCAGACATGCTCAATAAAAGAGGGCAGGAATGTTTTCATCGCCATATTGTGTGGCTGCAAGTCGTGTATTGCAGCAGTAGCGGCTATTCCGAAATCGTTCAAAGTGACAGGGTGCAGTAGATGAGGATGCATGTAGTTCTTAGGCATGACAGAGGACACATCAGGTACTTGTATGGTTCCGATGCATTTTCCATCCCCTTTACCGCTCACTCTTATGGACGATAGGTTCTGAAATATGGGCCCAAGTTCTAAGCCAGAGGATGAAAGACTTTTGCACATGTCGTCAAACTTGACATGTCTCTCGCAACCATGTCTCTGGTAAGAGAGGTCTCCTTTGAGTTCTCCAACTTTATGGGTATCCGCAAGGCCTGAATGAACCATGCCCTCATCTTCATAGCCAATACTAATGTAGCCAGAGCAATGCTCAGTCCAGTCTTCTTGGCTTTCGTTATATGAGCTCACTTGGAACCGTGTCAATTCACTACCGTCGCCGTGAGGGTAATGTGACAAACTGATCTCGACTTCCTGGGCTTCATCCGGCAGTGCTAGCAAAGGACCCAGGGTGATTCTCTCCAAATGGAGACCCTTCATGGTCATTTCCCCACTGTTTACCTGTATTACGGATTCGATTGCCATGGCTATGTACCCAAGAGGTGGTAACACGTATTGACCATCGAGCTAAATGAGATCAGAATAGAGCACAGAAATTATAAACGGGCTGCAAATTTTAGTCGCACCTTATACTGTCTGAGCCAAGGGTTCTCACTGAGCCGAAGAAAATGCCGCCACTTTGGATAACGCGGATTCCAGTCAGTAGCTGGTGCTCCAAAGATATCATGTCGGGGATACTGTCGTAAGCGGAGATTTCTTGCAAGTCGACTTTCGTAGACGTCTTTGTTTTCGTGGTTGAAGGGGTAGGGCGGCAGGTCCACAAGTAGATCCGAGTCTCTACGCAGCTCCTCGGCGTTATTCACACTCGGTATATCAACAGGGTATCCCTTAGAGGCAAGGTTTGCAACGGTGTGCAAAATACCATCAGGGCCAGAAGCATTGCGATCCAAGGTTGAATGGTAGGTTATCCCTTGCGCCATGTCAATCGTTTCTGTGATGGCGCTTCGAAGTGCCCCGTGTGATCCAATCTCAATGAGCTCATCTATTTGCAGAGGGGTTTCGTGCTCATCATTCGGTAACGTGTGCTTTTCGGAAGGATTATAGCACAATGCCCGGAGAGCTTGTTCGAATTTGACGGGACTCACCATATTCGCACACCAGTAAGAGGAATCCATAGATGGATCCAGAAGTATGTCACCTGTAAAGGTCGAGAACAAAGCAATGGGCTGCTCTCGACAAACCGTGTTGCCTTGCTCCAATGAGCCCATGAAAGCCTGGTATCTCTCGGTGAACACTTTCATATGCTCAGAATGGTAGGCCTTTCCCACGTTTAGCTTTCGTGCAAATATTCGCTTTGCGTCCAGCAAGCTCTTGAGGGCATCGACCATGGCGCTGTCGCCGGATACTGTTTGGTTCTTCGGGCTATTGAAACATGCAATAGTCAATACCCCGTTCGGATCACTTTGCTGCACCTCTTCGAGATATGGTTGTAGGTCATCTGGGCTCAATCCCACAGCCATCATCGATCCTGGACGTGTTATTGAGCCATAGACAACCTGGCCACGGAAGAAGGCGACTTTCCATGCTGCCTGTCTGGAAATCTTGCCGGCACAGTACGCAGAAGCGATTTCTCCCGAAGAATGCCCCACGACACGAGTGGGGGAAATTCCCCAGCTTGTCAGTAGGTCAAGTAAAGAAATCTGGATTGCTGTTGACGCTGGATGCCCGATGGTTGGTTCACTTATCCTGGTACTGTTCTTGTCCCGCCCAAGCTCCTCTGCAAACAAACGTAAGTACCCGAATATGGCAGATTTCGGTTTGGTGTGCTACTCACCCAGTAATGACCATTCACCACCCAGGGACTGAAAATATCTTTCAGCAGCTTCGATTGACCTGCGAAATACCGGGTAAGCAAGGAGCTGTTGGCCCATCCCTGCATACTGAGCCCCTTGCCCAGTGAAGACGAAGCCAAGTCTTGGGGAGACTCGCGCATGTTGAGGCGTAAGCGAGTCGTTGGCAAGCCGACTTTGTAGTTGTGAGATGGACTTGGCCAAAAGACATACTCTCCAATTGAATCGTGATCTCCTCTGCGACAGCGTGAAGCTCAGATCACGCAGAAACTTCCTCTCGTCCTCAGATGATAGTCGACCTTTCGTATTTATGTATTCGGTTAAACCGGAAATAACCCGATTGAGCGAGTCTTTGTCAAATCCAGACAATACGAAGAGGGCCGTGGAAGACCGAGAGCCTCCAGCCGGATGAACACTCTCCTGAGATAGAGAAACGGGCATCGGCGATTTGGGGCTAAATGTAACTCTCTCCGGAGGACTGTCATCGCCTGGATGCGTCATATCTCTTATATCATCAAATCCTTGTTGAAGAAATCGAAGCTCATCATGCGTTGGCACACCAATTCTTGTTCGATGTTTCGCAGATATCTTGTGTTTGCGGAGGAAATTGTATGCATCGTCTAGGATACAATGGGAATTGGTTCCACTCAACCCAAAGCAACTGACCGATGCACGTCGAAGCTTTGAGGTGGGCCATGCCTCACACTGGATGGGTAAGCTGAGCTTCCATTCATCCACTGGTATTTTAGGGTTTGGCTTCTCGAAGTTGGCGTTGGGCGGGACGACGCCTGTCTCCAAGATCATAATAGTCTTGATGAGGCCGGCAATCCCAGAGCCACCCTCCAGATGACCGATGTTTGTTTTCAGAGCACCAACGTAGAGTGGTAAGCTTCTTGTAGGTGTCTTGAATCCACTGCTAATAGCGGACGCTTCGACATAGTCTCCAGCCTGAGACAGTCTCATGATTAGAGGGTCGTCAATTCCGCAGCATCAGATTGTAAGTCTCACCTGGGTACCGGTGCCATGAGTCTCTATATAACATGTGTCCTCCGTGTCTAGTCCTACATTCTGGTAAGTTGTCTCGATAAGTCTTACTTGCGACCGTAAACTGGGGTATGTTATCCCCGGTGTGCGGCCATCCTGGTTTAAACCAGTACCGCGAATAACCGCTCTTATAGTATCACCATCCTCCACGGCGCTTGAAAGACGTTTCAAAATCACCGTGCCTACTCCTTCACCACGAGCATATCCATCGGCTCTGTGGTCAAAAGCGAAACATCTCCCTTCTGATCCCATGAAACCGGAATAGTCCATACCAACCATATGTGGGAGGAATCCAATAACATTTACACCGCTCACTATGGCCTAGAAAGGAGTGTGCATGATTAGAAAAGTTCCACAGAAGTTAACTTTAATACAATCTCGATATTTTCCCGAGTTGACTTACCATATCACTTTCATTTGTCTTCAAGCTTTGACAAGCTAGATGAAGACCAACGAGGCTGCCGGAACATGCTGTTTCGACCGTCAAACTAGGCCCACGGAAATCATAGAACCAACTGAGTCTCCCGGATATCATAGAGTTCTCAGTTCCGGTAGGTTTGTACTTGAGTATTGTCTCTGGGTCGCTGTTTAGGCTGTCCGCATGATCATGGTTGTAGCCATTCACAAATACCGATGTGTTGGATGAAATGGCAGCCTCCATTGGAATTCCAGCTTCATAATAATTCGTCAGCTGGGTCTAGCTATAGTGTCTCCATAATATGGCCTGAGCCTTACTTACCATTCTCCAATGCGTGGTATACATTTTCCATAACGAGACGATGTTGGGGGTCTAGGCTCAAGACCTCTGTTTTGCTCATCTTGAAGAACGCAGCATCAAAGCTAACTGGGTCATCTCTGAGAAAATGTGCCCTTTTGGAATGAATCTATAACGCCAGGAAACGAAACATTAGCTTCGCAGGCCGAGACAGAGTTTGCATACATACCGTTCCTCCATGGTCAGGATCAGGATGGTAAAATGCTTTCTGGTTGATTCTGTCTTCTGGAAATGCAGTGCTTGCCTCCCGGGCCTTCAACAGAAAATCCCAGAATCTCACAGAGTCACTGGCGTCTTGTGGGTACCGCACGGCATATCCTATAACAGCAAGAGAATCCATGATTTTTTCCTAGTGTTGGAAGTCTCTCAGTTTGATAGATTTCTCTGTAAGTGGTGCGATTGAAGTCGGTACCGAGTTGCGTCTTTGTCTTTATTTTTTCAGATATATTTGACCTTTCTTGCAACATAGAGCATAGATGAGAGACTACTATGACGCATCCAGCACCCAATAGTTGTGGGTGAGGCGATTGCTGTTTACGGTAGACAATGCAGAGAGTTAAATGCCTCCTAGCCATTGCAACCTCGCTCGCTGTGGACCCATGACGATAATAATACGATCATCCGGAAATACATCTGTTATACAGTGAATACAGACGAATTCTGTCTTCAAGGCCTGATCTATGTATAATCAATCTTGATTGCATACTTTCAAATCTGGTGGTATACTTTACCCAGTCCTGCCGCGGAGTTAGGGTGTGCCGAATTCGATGTGATCAGCTCCCTTAAACCTTATTGGAATCAAAAGGACCGATTCGACAGGTACGTACCATGCGGACACCGAAGTTTAGCATCATGGCGGAAAACGAGGACTTGAATAATGATGCCCCCGACCGAAGCAATGTTTGATGGATCTCCAAGCCAGAAAGCCATCAAAGCCTGATTGTTTCAAGCACATTGCTCCACTGCTCGCCATGAAGCCTTGCCTTCTTCAGCCAGGCCAGCAGGAATAAATAGCTTATATACCGGACCTACCTGCATATTTCTACAAAGGGATGTTGTGACCCCTTGCGTAAACAGGAACCTTTACGAGTCAGGGTATTCTCGTGAGTGGTGTCAGAGAAGCAAGGTGTTCTTTTCATCAGTTCGGACATTCTCAACTTCACATGCTCTCAGGTGAACAAATATGATACAAATTTTCAGATTCAATTAAAAGGACTGGCTGTTACAAGTCTCAGGAGACGGCCTTGATAAATATCATAGCTCAGCAATGTAACTATTGCGGCGATATTTGACGTTTTTCAATCAGGTCAATCCCGCCAAAGGCGCTTTTCACTCCATCGTCGTTCGAAGTCCTCGAATACCATCCCATGATGTGAGGGTAAGTATGGCGCATCTCACGGTCGATAATAGACTTGAATCCCCAGTACAAGGTGCATGCCATGGATATATCCGCCAGTGTCAATGCAGAGTAGTTGTAAACCCAGTACGCCCCTTCAAACGGTTCTCCAAAGCGTTAGTCCCCCTTTCGAGCTTCTCCATGAATATCGTTTCAATCTTCTAGTCAAAATTCTTTCGGCCAAGTCGCCATTGGACCAACGGCAACATAAGCCACGTCATCATTGTTGACCATGCAGATCCACTGATGTATAAGGGCCCGCTCAGTAGCACCGTGGCCAAGAAGCTGGTCCCGACAGGGTGCTGATTCGGAAATATACAGGGTTATTGCATCTGACCCGAAGATATGAAGGCCGTCAGCTCTTCGAAATGTCGGAATCTTGCTCATGGTATAGTCAGCAAGGAACTTTAGGCCTTCTTATCCCGCAGAGTATAAAGCTTTTGATTTCTTCTAGCTCTATCTCATTGAGAGTTGCTGCAGCGATGATATGGGCAAGAAAGAATTAGAGGGAGTTCAAAGGCAGTTTCATAAGTGTATACAGCTTCATAGCCCTAGAATTGGCCATGAAGTCGAACATGTAGAGGAGATCATATGATGCCATATTTGGGTAGGCTTTGACTGTCTAGAACTTGACGATAGGGCAGTAGCAGTGAGAATAATTACGAGGCGATGTGATGGTAGGTATAACCATTTACATCGAATTAAGCTTCAGCCAGCCCCAATGCCTGCCTACTACTGTAATATATGTGGGCCCTTCTGTGTATTCCCTGGTTTGTCATTGGTAGAGTCTATATTGCTCAGGATCATGCCCCGATGCGAGACACTTTTCAGCTTGATTCTCGAAGGCTACTGAAGATTGCTTTATCCGTCTCTCTGCAGAAGTGGAGCTGCCTAAATGCCCAAACTTTGCATTACAGCTGACGACAAAATATACTTCGTTTAAGGAGGCCTGGTTCAAATTGCTGGAACTAAGTTTTCTAAATACAGCATTGTGCATTCCCGGAAACCAGACGTCTGATCACTCAATCTTTTGCCACCTCAGCACTATTCTTTGCGCAATTCCCTGTTTAGATTTCCCACGAAAATCAGCTCCATTCGAAAACATACGTGACAAGAGGGCTTACCTCAACATTCACATGAGCTGGCGATGATAGCACGAGCTGATTCTCAAAGAGTTCCACCTTCCGTGACTGATACGAGCCATCTTCTTCAGGCCAGGAACAGAGCTCAAGGTGATGCTTCACCATGACGCTGCCGTCGGGCTGCGTCTCAACCCAATATCGGCCAGCGTATGCCAGAAGGTCATTTACGGTTTCCTTGACTTTCTTGGTGACTGCGGGTTGCAGCTGGACGGACATGCGGCCGTTCGGGTTGTAGTTCAAGATACCACGAGCGCCTTTCCCCATGGGAAAGACTTCGCCGCCATCCTGGAGCTGGGATCGAAGTTCAAGGAGGGACCAAGAACCAAGTAAAGTTTGCTCAATGTCATGTTGCGATCCCATACTGAATGTGAAGGTTCGGTTTTTCGTACGGAGAAGGCGGTGGCAACTCCCTGTATTGACGATGAACAACGTCTGGCAACAACGAGGAAGATGATAATGATTTTAGGAACACAGAGGCTCTTTGTATTGGCTCATGGAATATTCGATAGCGCCTTGTTACCTAAATGGGTCATCTGCATCTGTACGAACCTTAATTCCTGCTGTGCGGCTTTGCAACCAAAAACACGATACCCGTATCCAGTAATGTATCTACCTCGAAATGCGCCAAGCCTACTTTACTGCAGGTCAACAGCATGGACTAGCCTCCTGAGAAGATCAACGATACGGCTGGTCATCCCTTGCTCCCAAGGAATGCTATGCCCCCCTTTATGCTCCAGCACCTCCCTGTCGAATGACTGACACATTTCGACAAGGTTTCGGGATTGTGGATAGTATCCATCATTCCTACCATAGACGTGTACTGTTGGTAGTGGTATCTGAATCGAGCCGTCAGACGGGTATGGTCGGATCATAGACTTTCCTTGGGAGGGAAAAGTTTTTCGATCCAAGAGATCAGGAATATTCGCTGCTATTTCCGCCGTGATATCTTCACCTGTGCCTTCATCTCTGAAGGTTCCGTCATCCATCGATCGGAATGGCGCCGATTCCACGTTGAATGGCGCCGTAGCACAGAAAAAGACGGCGCACTTGAATGGTAGATGCGCGCCCTGATTCCTGAGAAGGTAGGAAGCAGCCACAGATGCTCCTTGTGAAAAGCCAAAGATGCCATCGAAAGGACCATCATCTTCTAAGGCCTGGTCAATGAGGTCAAAGGCGTCGTATATCTGAGACGCAGTAGGGAGGTTGAAGAACGAAAAGTACGGCCCTTCGGCGACTCCATACACGCCTGTGCAAAGATAAGCTTCGTTTGTGCTATACAGGCTTGTGAGCCTACCTGGTCCGGCCTCAGATGGGATATCGCCATCTACAAAGACAAACTCGTGCTGTGACCCTAGAGCCGCCTGGATCGCGGATAGTTGGGTGTTGAACACTTCGGCGTTTGAGCCGATTCCATGGAGGCAGAGAAAGCGCATGTCTTCTTGAAAGGTCACTCACTTTAGAGAGCGTGTAATCGGAGAAGGAAACTGCTGTTAAGATGGTATGGTGGACAAGTCCGAATCATCAAATGGAATATGCTGCTACGGTCTCCATACAAAGCAACGGGAAGACGCTCCGATTGATTTTCATGACGTGATGTCAGCTAGGGACACCTGAGAGTATATGATGTGGAATGTTAACAACGTTCCAAGACAGATCATTAGTATCTCAACAATGCAATCAGACTTTTGTGGCAAGGTGCAGGAGGTGCGGGGCCAAATAGAGAGAGACCGTTGACGATCCATGCAAGATGCCGTGCTCTTTCTTCAGATAGGTACATCAGTGGGCTGACCTAGAAAGCTGACTGCTGAGCTAGACTTGGATTCTGGCCATTCTTTAATACGTCAATCTGCATCGAGCGGAGATGTATGACTAGATCGTAGATTGATATCCTGCTTATAGTCTAAAGATTGCCACTGACGGTGTGGAGATTTTACCTTTTTGTATTGTTCAGTATGTTACAATGACAAACTGCCCTGGGACAATACCAGACTGGAGCACGTCTAGATGATTGTTGAAGGGTCGGGCTGCTCCCCGGGGGACTAATGTACATAAAAAGAAAAAGAATAGTCTCAGCACTAAATCTACTTATACTCCATCTACCAACTCTCCAATAACTACAGTAAGTTGGGATTTTTCAAGCTTGTACCTGAAAAACGCAAATATCTACATCATCCTTCCAGCACAAATACACCATGCCAGGTACACAAGACAATCCAGTTATGCCCATTGCCATCGTTGGCATTGGGGGCCGATTCCCAGGGGACGCATCGAATCCAGATCGGCTTTGGGAACTCCTCCTGAACGCGAAAAGCACTCTCTCGGAGACGCCTAAAGATCGATTCAGCGCAGATGTATTCTACCACCCGCAGCCTGATCGCCCAGGAACTTCAAACTCGTGTGGTGGCCACTTCATGAACCAAAATATCGATGAATTTGATGCGCCATTTTTCTCTATCACCCCTTCTGAGGCGAGAGCCATGGATCCCCAGCAGCGAATGTGCCTGGAAGTTGCATACGAGGCTATGGAAAATGGTTTGTCTTCTTCAGCCATAAAGACTTTCCACAAATCTGACTCTAAGCAGCGGGTATTACAATGGATCGTATCTCCGGATCTCGCACCTCTTGCTATGTCGGGTGCTTCAACCATGATTACCAGCTCCTCCAGAACTTGGATCTCGATAACCTTCCATTTTATCATGCAACAGGGACCGAGTCATCATGTCTCTCGAATCGCGTCTCATGGTTCTTCAACTTGGCTGGCCCAAGCATGACAGTTGATACAGCATGTTCTTCGTCTCTCATAGCACTCCATCTTGCCTGTCAAAGTATTCGGCTTGGTGAATCAGAAACGGTACGTACTTCGGAATTGAAATCCACGGGAATTATCGCTGACTGAACCAGGCGCTTGTGGGTGGTGTGAACATCATCTCGTTCCCAGAGATTTACATGAAGCTTTCCAACCTACAGATGGTCTCCCCGGATAGCAAGTCGCAGACCTTCGATGAGAAGGCTAATGGCTACGGTCGTGGGGAGGGTACCTGTTTTGTGGTGCTCAAACCACTAGATAAAGCCATCGAAGACAACGATGTCATTCGTGCAGTGATCCGCAATACCGGAAGTAACGAGGATGGGAATACACCCGGCCTGACACTTCCATCAAAGAACATGCAGAAAGCCCTGATCGAGAAGGTGTACGAAGAGGCGGGATTGCAAATGAGAGACACAGGTTATTTTGAAGCACATGTAGGTTGCTACTATTTCTAAGCCTGCTCGAGAACACCGTGTTAATAAGCGGCAGGGTACTGGAACAGTCGCAGGGGATTCAATCGAAACCCAAGCCTTGGGAGAGACCATTGGAAAATCGAGACCGCCAGGTCAGCCACTCTGGGTGGGATCGTTAAAGGCAAACATCGGTCATCTCGAAGGCGGCAGCGGTCTTGCATCGCTTATAAAGACTGTCTATGTTCTTGAAAAAGGCATAATTCCGCCTCAAATCTGGCTGGACAAACTCAATCCCCGTATTCGCGCCGAGGAATGGAACTTAGCCGTGCCTACGGAAGTAACTCCGTGGCCGGACCAAGGCCCTCGGCGAGCTAGTGTTAACTCGTTCGGATTTGCTGGTGCGAATGCACACGCTATCCTGGAAAATGCTTACTCCTATCTCGAGGCAAATGTTGGCAGGGGCCGTCACAATTCCAATGTACCCGCGAAACTTACCGAAAACCCTGACCTGTGTCGTGACAAGCATGATGCAAATAGCCTCACTTTATCGCGAGATACACATGGCTATGTGCAACCGTTTCCGAAGCTTATTTTGTGGTCGGCCCACGAGCAAGGCGGGCTGAAACGAATTTCGGAGTCATGGAAACAATTTCTCGATGGAAAGTCGGGCATGCTCACGCAAGTCGAGCGGTCGAAACTGCTGTCGAACTTGGCGTATACAGCAGTAAAGCGGCGCACGCAGTTTCCCTGGAGGTCGTTCACTGTTTGCTCGGATCCAGGAGAGATTGCGAGCGGCGAAGTTGATATAGCCCCTGCTGTCCGGTCATCACAGCGGCCCAGGCTTGCCCTCGTTTTCACTGGTCAGGGTGCACAGCACCATGCAATGGGTCGCCGATTAATGCACTACGGTGTATATGCCAATAGTCTGAGAACTGCCGACCAATATTTGAAGTCTCTGGGCTGCCCGTGGTCACTTGTGGAAGAGCTCTCTCGTGACGCAGAATCTTCCAGGATAAATCCTCCTGAATTCAGTCAACCTCTTTGCATTGCATTGCAAGTGGCGATGGTTGACCTCCTGAAAAGCTGGGACATATGGCCCCCTGAGGCGGTGATTGGTCATTCTGGTGGAGAAACAGCCGCTGCTTATGCAAAGGGTGCCCTAACCCGAGAGGCAGCCTGGACAGTGGCATATTATCGCGGTCAGGTGTGCTCGATAGCACCAGACGTTGACCCAGACCATCCCCTTGATGGTGATATGTTAGCGGCTGCTATTAGTGAGCAGGAGGCTCAGTCTTATATTCAACAGGTGTCCTCTGGAAAGCTTGTCGTTGCCTGTGTCAACAGTCCGAACAGTGTTACCCTGTCTGGTGACGTTCCTGCGATTATCGATGCTGCGAAGCTCATAAAATCCGATGGCCATCTAGCTAAGAAGCTTGGGGTCAATCGAGCCTATCATTCAGCACATATGAAGGTGGTCGAGGACATGTACCGAGACCTTCTGAAAGATGTGCATGGTCTTCCAGAGACACCGGATTTACCGAAGATGTTCTCGTGTGTGACAGGAGCCTCAATTGACAACTGTAGCTTGGGTGGAGATTACTGGGTGACAAACCTCATAAACCAGGTTAAATTCTCTCAGGCAATGCAAGCACTTATCAACCATTCGGACAGTCGGAGATCGAAGCGCCCGAAGGGGTACTCCTATGTCAACCTCATGCTTGAGATCGGCCCTCACGGTGCCCTCCAAGGACCGGTGAAACAAAACTTAAAGGCAATTCAGGTAGATTGTACTAGCGTATCCGCCTTGGATCGGAACAAAGATGCAGCACAAAGTCTCCTGGAGGCGATTGGTGTTCTTTTCCAGCATGGGTACGATTCTAATATTGTTGCCGCGAATACCCCTGATCCAAGCGAAACAACTCAGCTTCTTGTCGACTTGCCACCCTATCCGTGGAATCATTCTAATCGATATTGGCACGAGCCAGCTGTAGCCAGTGCATACCGGTTCAAGAAATTCCCCAGGAAGGACCTCCTTGGGATCAGGGACAACGAGGGTAACAACACCCATGCACGCTGGCGTCATTTCCTACGCCCTTCCGAAAATCCCTGGATTGAAGATCATCAGGTGCAAGGTAAAGTGATTTATCCCGCCGCCGGAATGCTTGTCATGGCATTGGAAGCCGCGAGGGAAACGGCAGACCCTGACAAGGCGATAAAGGCGTACGAGATACGTGATGTGTCTATTAAAAACGCCATTATTATTCCCAAGGGAGAAGAGGGAGCAGAAACGATGGTGCATTTTCACCAAAAGTCCTCGGGCTGGCAAGAATTCTCGATATATTCCCGTGTTGGCCACAATCCCTGGTCACAAAACTGCACTGGCGTCCTGCGGGTACAGTATAAGATCAATCAAAACATGGGGTCGTTCACGAATGAAGAAGAGGAGACAACCATGTTGTATCGGTCAGAATATGAGGAAGTAGAAAAAAGATGCTCTCGGTCCATGTCATCTGAAATTTTTTATGCAGAACAATCTGAACTAGATCTCTGGTTCGGTGAAACGTTTCAGAACGTCAGCAACCTCCGATTGAACCAGGGAGAAATGGTTTTCGATGTTCAAACACCAGATGTGAGAAGCAAGATGCCGCAAAACTTCACTCATGACCACTTGGTGCATCCCTGTACTCTCGATCCGGTTATCCATGCTTCACTTGCCATATTAAATCACGGAGAAGGAGAAAAGGGACCAGTGATTCCCACGTCCATCGGTAGACTGGTTATATCCGCGGGTATTTCGGCTCGCCCGGGCACGGTGCTCAGGGCACACTCTTCAGCGACACGACATGGTCTCAGAGATGCAGAATTGAACATTCGGGCATTCTCTGAGAACAGGGAAAAGCCTCTTATAATCCTGGACAGAATCAAAGTCACTCGCCTAGGAGGCGGTATTAGCTCTGAGGGTCAAGATGGTCTGGAAACAGCCCAGAAGAGAATTGCAAGTGAGATACACTGGGAACAAGATGCTTTGCATCTGACGAGCCAGGAACTTCGCAAACTGGATTTGTCAAACCCTGCAGCGGATGGTCCAGACAAAATGGGACCTTTGGAATCATTCATCAGACTTCTCGGACACAAATTTTCTGATTTAAAAATTCTAGAGATAGGTGCCGGGGATGGCAATGTAACAGAGAGGCTTCTTGATGCGCTTGAGGGGCACGATGGTGAATCAGTTCCGTTACTGGAGCAGTACACTGCCACCGGATCAAATGATGAAGCAGCATTATTGAAGAAAAGGATGCATTCCCGTGCGCCATATTTTCATGCCACCCCATTGGCCCTGAGCCAAGATTGGCAGGAGCAAGGATTATCGTCCCAAACATACCACTGTATTATCATCAACGCTGGGGACGGACGGACGGCAGCCGGGAATGCAATTGAGCAATCCAAAGGCTTGTTGGAAGCCAACGGGGTTCTCATTGTACTTCTCGCAAAGGACTTGAGTGAGTCGCGAGAAACGTGGATACAAAACCTGGCAGAGAGAGGTCTGACGAACATCGAATACGTGGCTCCGGAAGATCATAACAGTGACGCCTCTTCCATTCCATTCCTTAGCTCAAGGATGGCGCTTGATTTGGACAGCTCCCTTCCCAAAGACATTCTGCTTGTCAGCCCTTGTCGCCCTGGTGAGCTGTCGAGGGGTCTGACAGAGCAGCTACAGTCTCATGGTATACGCATACATCATGCAACTCTATGCGATACGGAGCGGATAGACCTCGGAGACAACTTCTGCCTATTCCTCCCGGAGTTGGAGTGCCCGATACTGTTTGATCTTAACGCAAAGGATTTCTTGCTCCTCAAACGTTTACTTCTTGAGTCAAAGGGCACACTCTGGGTAACGGCAGGGGCGACTTTTGAATGCAGTAACCCCAAAGCATCATTGGTCACGGGGCTTTTCCGGAGTGTTAGCCATGAGCACCCCGAACTATCACTGACGACACTTGACTTGGATACCGAAGACTCTCACAGCCCTATCGGTGCTAGCATCATTATGGGTGTTCTGAAACGCATTGCAAACGGGGATATCGACCACGAATTCACGGCGCGTGGTGGTCAAATCCTAATTCCGCGTATCAGAATGAATAAGAGGCTCAATGACTTTTATTCAGTTCTGCGCGACGGACCTCAACCAGTGCTTGGACCATTGAAACAACCGGGAAGATCATTGGGTCTTCCCCTGGGTGCGCCGGGGGTCTTTGATTCAATTCATTTTCGGGATGATCTGAGCCACCAAGAATCTTTGTCCCCTGACACTGTCGAGATAGAAGTCAAGGCAACTGGGCTTAACTCGCATGATCTTCTGTCAGCGCTTGACCAAGTCGCCGACCCTAAATTCGGCCATGAGTGTAGCGGTATCATCCGCAATGTGGGCGAAGCTGTCACCAAGTATCGAACTGGAGACCGAGTCATGGCTTGGAGTTCCGGGGCTTTTGCAAATTTTACTCGCGTTCCAGAAGCCATGGTGCAGCCGATGCCATTCGGGATGCCCTTTCCAGTGGCAGCGTCATTGCCAGTCAGCTACTGTGTTGCCTATCATTCCTTGGTTGAATGTGCGAGACTGCGACGTGGCGAGAGCCTTCTCATCCATACGGGGGCTGGCGGGGTAGGGCAAGCCGCCATCACGATCGCACTAAATCTGGGCGCAAAGGTGTATGTCACCGTAGGGTCAGAAGAGAAGAAGCTTCACCTCATGGATACATACGGCATTCAGGATGATCACATCTTTTACAGCCGGGATCTCAGCTTCTCTCAAGGAGTGTCCAGGTTGACCAAAGGGAGTGGTGTTGATGTTGTACTCAATTCGCTGTCAGGTGAACAGCTTCAACATTCACGAACATGCGTGGCTTCGTTTGGACGATTTGTGGACATACGATTGAATAGTACTGGTGAGTATTTTATCATCAAATCATTGTCTCTTGTACTTGCTAAGACATGACAGCCGAGGATACCGGGCTTGACATGGGTCCTCTTCCCAAGAATGTGGCATCTTTCTCTGTCAATGTCCATGAACTATACGACAAATATCTGCCGCGCGCAACGACCCTGTTCGAGAATGCGATGAGATTTTATTTCGAGAATAATTGTAACCCGCCATCCCCTTTGCATGTCATGACCTTTTCAGAATTTCCTGATGGTCTCCGACTTCTGCACAGCGGCAAGCAAATGGGCAAGATAGTTTTTCAGGCCAATGATGAGGACCAAGTCTTGGCCATTCCACCCCCAATCAAGGCAACAAAGCTTGATGCAGATGCCACATACATCATAGCTGGAGGGTTTGGCGGGCTTGGCCAACATATTGCGAAGTGGATGGTGCAACGAGGTGCTCGAACTCTGGTATTTTTGTCACGCAGCGGTTCAGATCATCTTGATGCCCCAAGGGTACTCGAGGAAATCGCTACCGAAGGGGCAAATGGTGTAGCATACAAATGTGACATCTGTGAATTGGAGCAGGTCGAAGCGACAATGAAGCAGATGGCGACGGACGGGTTACCGGCTGTTCGAGGAATCGTGCAGGCCGCGATGGCCCTTGCCGTGAGCTTTCCCCGACTCTTGCAGCGACATTTGACTGACGTCCCTCACAGGATTCAACATTTGAACAAATGACACCCGATCAATGGGAGCTAAGCACCAAAATCAAAGCGCTGGGCTCTTGGAATCTGCACCTCACTGCACCAGCAGAAATAGATTTCTTCGTTATGCTATCCTCGGCTTCTGGTATTGCCGGACTGCGTGGCCAGGGGAATTATGCAGCCGGTTCGTCTTGTTTCCTTTGGCTTCATGTCTTCGGGTACTAATCAGATATCACAGGAAACACCTTCATTGATGCGCTTGCACATCATCGCCATGCACGGGGTCTACCTGCAGTGTCGATTGATGTCGGGCCAGTAACTGACATAGGATACATGGCCCAGAGAAGCGATATCACAGAACTTATCAGATCCCTCGGTTTTGTCGGTCTCAATGGTGACGAGCTTCTCGGTATTCTGCAAACAACAATGGGCAGTGACGAAAACACCCGCAAGTCCAGCAACCCGCAGATCATTCTGGGGTTGCCTACTGGTGGACATTTGGCCGCCGAGGGTCTTGATGTGCCATACACTCTTTCCAACGCCCGGCTGGCCCGTCTAAGCCGAATCGGAGCGATAAGCCAAGACGACGGTGAATCCGGCCCGGCACTATCGGAACAGATTAAGAAGGCGCCAAGCCGAGCGTCTGCCACTGAGGCAGTGACGGACGCGCTCAGGGCTCGGCTAGCGAATCAGATGATGGTCGAAGTTGAGGACGTTGACGCATCGAAACCTGTCAGTGGATACGGAGTGGACAGCTTAACTGCTGTTGATATTCGCGTATGGTGTTTGAAGGAGGCCCAAGCCGATGTCTCCATTCTGGACATTGTGAACTATTCTTCGATTATGGATTTGGCGCAGACCATTGTGGAGAACTCGCGGTTGGCTTCAAATGACAAGTGGGAGGATTAGTTTGAGTTGGTTTTGGCTGTCTTGATCATTGCAATGAGTAATTTCTATGGATTATAAACTTGGCCACATTCCTAGATCTCTCAGCTGAAATTATTCGTCTGGGTAATCGCCAGTTAGTACCTGAGAGCTGGGCGCATAGGCTCTAAATTGTTGCAATACTTAGCGACGGACGCATTCAAATATATATATATGTGTGTGATATTATTGCCATAATAGCTTCGTGTTCAGTCGATCGTTGCTTAGCTCGGATGGAGGCCATCTACGAACGAAAACAAGCCTTTAGCCGCCTAAGGAATCTAAAACATAGATCCTTATATTATCTGGGCTCACAGATTTTGTAACGACGATCATGAGAAATTTACGTCCTCTCTAGGTATTGATGCCTAATTCAAATGAAATACTTATGACATGAAATAGAAACCATATAAATGGCTATTATCCATATTATGAGATTTCAGAGAAGAGTAAAGAAGGGCACATTTAGGGGATATCGTGTTCAATAACTATTTTTGCTTCACATTCATATAAAGAACGCTGGATATAAACACCTCCGGCTCTGATATTATTGACCCATAGTGATGAGCAGTTTCATAATGCCTACTTCGTAATTCACTCGTGCTAAACAAGCTCCGAAAGCATATCTGGACTGAGGTCTATACTGAAGAACAGGTCAATAAGAAACAACGAGGGAGAATCACAATTCACAGCGGTATCTTGAAACCCCCTGGCATCATGTTCCGGAAGACGCCCGTTGGATCTACCTCACGGCTGATGCGTTGCAATTGCTCAACGCTCTCAGGGCCATAACTAGCAATCGGGTTCTGCCATTGCGCCGCATAATTCAGATAAACAAAAGAATTATATGCATCCAATGCATACGCATCCGATTCAAAGCCTGAAAACAGCGCCTTGGCGGCTTCCTCAACCCGGGCATCATCAGCCGCGTCATCCCAGGTGGCGCTCAGTAAGGTCACCACTAGTGGCCGCTCAGGCTGTTCGGGGGATGATAATCCCATAGCATTATGACCGGGAGGTTCCCGCGCATAAATTGCCGGAGGTAGTGGCTCAAGAGAGATCGACCACACAATGCCTGGCACGTCCTGTACGGCTTCCAGACTGGAGTTCCACTGGAGGTAGGTCGCATTCAACATAGAAAGGGTCACGCCATGCGTTGCTACTACACTTAGCTGTCTATGTAATTGTCGTCAGCACTGAAAGATCAGATGAAGAAAGATATTCTTACCGTTTCCCGCTCTATGAAAACGACCCTTGCTCAATAGCCACCTCATGCGTGGGTGCCACACGCACGGTGCTGAACAACTGTGGGATGTCGAAAAGCGCTCTGTACACAGTTGGGGGCGGTGTTACTCCATCATTCTTTAGTTCCTCGAGCTCTCCCGTATACACAACACTATTCACTATGGCAGCCCCCTGGCCTCCGGCGAACCCGAAACTGGTGATCAACGAAGCATACTCATCATAGCTGCTCGCGCCGGCCTTGGGATCAGCCAGCTCGGCGAAGGCACGTAATTGGGCGTCAATAGTCTCAGTGCTGTGGTAGATGAACCCACCGTAAATAAGACCCTGTGGGAAAGTCCGCAAATTGAAGCCTGTGACAACCCCAAAGTTAGCGCCGCCCCCGCGTAGCGCTGCCAGCCAATCCGGATGTTGGTCCTCATCCAAATATACAATTGTGCCGTTAGCCAAGACCACCTCTGCGCCGACCAAGCTGTCACACGTCCACCCGTAGCGCGGTGAGAAGTAGGAGATGCCGCCCCCGAGGGTCAGCCCGCCAACCCCGACCTGTGCAGCGCGGCCTCCTGCAACCGAGAGACCCAACGGATAGAGCAGGGCATAGACCTCGCCCCATGTAGCGCCTGCTCCGACAAGGACTGTGTGTTGTGGCTCCTTGTCTTGCGCATCTTCATCCTCATCTTTCTGTGATGGAGCATCCTGTATCCGGATAGAGTTGAGAGCGCGCAGATCAATGGTGACGCCATTATCGATGTTGGATGCGCCTCCGAAGGAATTGTGGCCGCCAGAGCGAATCGCAAACTGGCAGCCCGCTTTCTGGCTATCAGGTACACCAGAAGATATTGCTAATATGCTGGTGATCGCAATTGATACGTCATCGGCTGAGTCTGGAAACACCACGCACGAAGGCTGAAGCTCGCTATTCTGCTGGGCAAAGTACGATCCCTGAGACGATGCATAAGCAGCAGTGTCGGCAAAGGATACTTTGTCCTGCCCTAAAACTGTAGCCAGGGCGAGGCACTGTGCACACAGCGGGATTAGTATTCGTTACTCTGCAGAGGGCTATAATCGCACTTACGCAGGCACCCGGGAAATCACAAGCTGTAGTAGCATTGCTGCCAACGAGCGGGACCTGCTCCATAATTGGGGACAAATTCAAGCAGAAAGACTCTGTGGACTGGTCGGTGGCCTAGGATAAGAGATGGAAGGGAATACACTATGGAAGGAGCGCCGCAGGGCTTAAATAGGCGGGGTGAGTGTCGTACGCGGTGGTCATGAGGCTAGAGACTTAGCGGCATTTACCCCTGCCACTTGTAGACAAGGATTATTTTTTCCCAATGTGACTGGAGATTCCCGCTCTTCCAGCCTTGCCATGGCAATCTCTCTCTTTCACCGGGACCAGGTTCTTTTTGGACCGCATAGTACGTGCGGTGGTATTTAACACCAGTCTTTCCTAGTTGTTTCTACCTAGAAGAGACAGTGTTGATACATATTGTGGATAGAACAACGGGGACGGCTTTAGGCTATTAGAGACAGTATGACATAGCATCTCGGAAGCCTCTTTGTGTTTACGTCGAGTGAATCATCAAATCTCTCCTGTCTCTGTCAAGACAGCAGTAGTTGTTCACATTTTCATTCCCCGGAACACACCATGTCGCCAGAATCGATAAGTGACTTAAGAGACACACCATTTGTGTGGCTTATTAGAACACACACTGCTTGAGAGTCCCAGGTAAGACCAAAGATACTTGAAGGCACGAGAAAGAGTTGGGATTTCTGATAAAGTTGCCAGTTATCAGTATAGCCCCATAGTAGACAAAAAGTCTCCAGCATTGTGGTGAGAATCGCTCGGGGTTTATTGATGATCTTGATGTGTTGACAATGATGCTCCTTTAATCGCACACCCATGCAACAGCTTCCATGCCCAGTGTCGAAGAAGGATTTATGGTTCACGTAGCCCAAGTTGGACGGAGCAGACGAGAAGTTCTTCATTTGCAACTAGCCAACATCACCATATGGTGATACACCCCACCTCGGGACTCCGATCGGAATAAGATCAAGCAGACGCAACAATTTGCCGCCTCAGCAAGCTGAAATCAGTGGTCACTTCAGACCGACCATCATACAGTAACGGAGCGAGCGAGTCATTGTCAAGTCCGGTCTCACTGTGAACTGGGAAATGAGTGTCACTCTCATCTCCCGTTTCTGTTTATGGCAGTGGGTCTGCCCCGCCGATAGTGCCTTCTGTGATTGGTTGAGAAAAGCTTGTCTTTTGTTGGTGCCTGATCTCCCGCCTGGTGTAGCCTTGCTGCCTGGATGCTGCTTTCCTTCTATCAGCTGCGATATCCCTTAGAATCGATCGATAATCCGGGAACTGGTATGCATGACATGTTAGACCAATGGAGAGGTTTTGTCCATAGCATAAATTACCTACTTGAATTATAATCATAGTCCTGGTACGAACATCGGGTGCATTTCAAGCATGATCATGGCTGGATGGTACTGTTATCTTCTTCCATGAACCAAGAAGCTCATATCAGAACTGTACTCCCTACTGAAAGCTACTTCTACAATATATGGGATCTTTTCCCAACAGCCTCTGACACTACCCATTTACATCTCGTTGTCGCCTGTCCAAGGCGGTAGTAAACTGCCCGTCGTATGGCAAGGCGGACAGAACCCAGCCGCACCGCCCAACACGGCAAGAGGGGCGTCAGCAAACTGAGAAACAGCAATAATGGCCCCATGGAAGGATTGAAGCTGCTGCTTCGAATTGCTTTCTGAAACGGACGAAACATGAAGCCCCCAAGCATAAGCAGTTTTGACAGCGGCCATATGCCAAGCAGATGCATACCAATCTTCCCCAGTCAGTACCTAGGTGAACTCCCGGCCCCAAACGGCAAACCTATCCACGAATTAATCTCCCTTCGCCGCAAGCGGCCCCCACCAGGCCATCTATCTCAGGGAAATGAAACCCTCGTATTTATTGGCCCCCCACCAGGAATCTCCCGAACCAGACACTCGCCTTTCCTCAGTAACCCGTGCCCTGCGCGGTGGAAACTCTTGCCCGCTGATCACCGGATACAGTGGTTCTTAGCTACCGCTGCGATGGAGACAGCATTTGTCATGGGCCAATCAGAGCAGAGTCATGTCAGACTGTCTTAGACTTTGGTTAGATCTACAGGGTCTGGGCTTTGCCTTGTGATGTGTGAATTGTACAAATTGCTTAGGGGGGAAACAAGAGACTGGTCATTGTGCTTTGAAGAATTTCCGTCAAGATTCACACTCAGTCTGTAAGTCCTCAATAAAGGCACCGATGAACTACTGCAAGGAAGATTTCAGTAGTAACTGTGTAGGTTCTGTCACCCATCAGGCAACCCAACCCAATTCAAACTTAGCTAAAAATAGACTCCACCCAATCCGGCCACGACTCTCAGTCTCAAGAGTTAAGACAAGACACCGCACCAGACTAACTTATCTGACCTGACGCCCCCATTTCTCAATACAGACTGGCTGCTTGGGATGGCAGATCAGCAGCTTATCATTCTACCCTCAATGTTGGTTGGATGTCCGGTCGATACTACAACAGGGTACAGCCGCAACGTGACTGCTGCTGTGTTACATGCGGATGTCACCGGCTGCCTGTCCTACCACTTATAACTACTTTGACATACATTTAAAGGATAGAATTTAGGGAAATGGAATTCTTTGTTTCTTTCAGTTCACATTCCAATATCTAGCAAATACATCACAACTAGTGAATACCAAGACTTCCATCCGGGCATGGTATTCATCAGCAGAAAAAGTAAAACTACACTATCCCCACTAGTCCGAGCCTGCTTTCCAGCCCCCAAGCACAACCAACCTGCACAGCCAAACGCCCATCATTCTTTTACTTGAAAGAGAAAAAGCGTGCAACAGGGTTCTGAGCAACGCGGTGAACCTAGCAATCTCATCAACACTGGATCCTAAGTCAGAGCGGGAAGCCAATCGGCTGCCATCGCCCCATCTCAGCGGAGAGGGTCCGGAGGGTCCATCCGTGGCGTCTGTAGGTCCATCTGACTGGCCATGTTTAGTCGGGGACAGGGCTAATTCTCCTTTCTTAGAATGCAGCTGAACGCCTTTAAGACGGGCGTGGACCCTGCAGAATTCAGGTGTAACTCACCTAGTCATTCATTATCCTTCATTCTTTCCATCCATACACTACACTAGATATTCGATATTGTTTTGTGCAGATTTTCTACTCGGTTTATTAACTATCTACATTCATTCATTCATTGAACGGCTATCCTGCGATGCATCAATAGACATTTACCACGATCACGACCAACCACTACCTCAATCACAACTAAACTAAACTGCAACAACATAATGTCCACCATGTTAACCCGACCCACGGCCATCCTCATCTTCTCCCTCGTCTTCCTAAACCTCTACCTCTTCCACCGACTCATCCGCCAACCCGTCGTACCAATCTCACCCACCATCGTCCCAACCCCAAGCCCAGCGGCAGCAGAGATACAAGAAATACACCTACCACCACAACAACCACCCCAAATAACCACCACCACCACCGAAGACCCAACAACCCTATTCCCAACCACCACCCTCGCAACAATCACCACCCACACCACCACATCCACATCCACATCCACAACAACCTACCCTCACAAAACCCACACTCAACCAACCAGCCACTCCATCCCGCACAAACTGTGGCAAAAAACCGGCACAAAAGGCCTCACCACGCAAGCCGAATCCTGGATCTCAACCTGGACAACCCTAAACCCACACCTACGGCACGAGATCCTCACCGAAACATCCAGCCTCGCCTACGTGGAAACGAACTTCCGACCCATCTGGCCCGAAATCGCCGACCTATACACGTCCCTCTCCGTGCCCATCCTCCGCGCCGACCTCCTGAGGCTCCTAATCCTCTACATCGACGGCGGGATCTGGTCCGACCTGGACGTATCCTGCGAAGTGCCTATATCGCAATGGCCGATCCCGCCGACGGCGAACGTAGTCGTGGGGATCGAGTTCGACGGGTGGCAGTTTGCGTCGTGGACGGTGATGTCTACCCCCGGGAATGGACATATCTATCATGCGATTGAGTATGTGGCGGGACGGTTGGAGGGGCTTGCGAGGGAGAATAATGTGACTGTGGGCGAGGTGACGATGGAGATGATTCCGGATGTGGTGGATGTGACGGGGCCGCAGGCTATTACTGTTGCGTTGTTAGAGACGATTAGTGAGGAGGTGGGACGCGGGGTGGGCAAGGAGGAAATTGAGGGGATTGGGGAGGGCGGGGTGTTGCTCGGGGATGTGCTTGTGTTGCCCCAGGCGAGCTTTGCGGCGTTACAGGGCGGGATGCCGCAGGGGCAGGGGGAGTATTTGGTTAGTCATCATTATGCGGGGAGTTGGAAGAATGAGGTGGGTGGAGAGGAGGGGGTTAAGGAGGATGATGGGGGGGAGGAGCGGGATGGGGAGGAGGAGGTGGTGATTGTTGTGGAAGGGGATGGGGAGGGTGATGGGGGGGAAGGAGGAAGGGAGTGAGTGATTAGGGTTGGTAGGAGTAGTTTGGATGATGTATATAGTATTGTACGCTTTTTGTATATAGTTAGGGTATGGTATTCTATGCTGTGCATGATGAGTATTATTATCTTGGACTGTAGATGGGTTTAGCACAGCTGGTAGGGCAATGTTCACGTCTCACACGTGGCACTCCTTACTGTCACTTATGCAAGTCACCTGTTTGTCGAATCACTGTGCAGTACATTCTAACACTATAATAGGGTCTAATATATCATGCATCTGAGAAGGGTATCAACTCGGCAGCTCACTTGGCTGCTTTTACCAAGATCACATCCAAACTTATCATGGATAATATATCCGTCTTCATAGTAATCTCATCTTCGATAATAGGAATTCCATCCTGATACAGCAGTGAATCTCGAGATACAGTAAGCCATTGGTAATATAGTTCAAGGCTAGTCTTAGGTTATTCTCGAAGATATACAAATAGCTCATACATGTGTCCAGTTATCATAGAAAGTAAGAACTGCTGAAGTCTATATCTGAATGAAAATGCTCATCTCAGCAAATATGATATTCTATTACGACTCCCAGATAAGAATCCCGACTAGCCATCCAAATATCCCATCGTAGGACAATACTACTGGGACTATCTACATAGGAAAAAAGGCACATCGCCCCTAATATATATACATATATATCCAAGACAGATGTATGGTATATAATCATACATCAACCCAACCGAATCAACATATCCCCCTCCTACGAAATCCTCCCGCAGGCTACTAACAATCCATATCCCCTGACCACCAATGTCCGAAGTAACATCGTCCCCGCCGCGGCCGGGGCCCCATCATCAACGCTATACATGAGTCGTATACTAATGGCATGTCACCGGCGGTGTGCAGAACGTGCCCGTATACGGTCTTCTGTCGCATACGACTGAGTAGCCGGGAATGGAGGCTAGATTGTGCTGATCCTGTGCGGTGGCTGAGAATCCCTTTTGTCTTGCGATTGAGAGTGGAGTGAAACATCTCTGGTAGAAACTTCGTTGTTGATGGGGCTCTTATGTAAAGGGGGGATTGTCGGGCTAAGTTAGTATGATCCTTTGGTCTTGGCTGATGGTTTGGTGGATTGTTCATGTAGGTGTGTGGAGGGATTGGATCTGGTTACACCGATTTGAGATCAATAAAGTTTGATGGCTTGGAAGGAGTTGCTAAGCGAGAATAGGGTTTGACTTGGTGATAGTGGTAGTGGCTTGGTGGTGTTGTAGGTATTGGGGTGAAGTGAACTGTGTGCATGTAGCAATCTCACTGCCAATGTTCTGACCGGAGAACAGTATAGAGCGTTTGCAAGCGGCAGAGCACACTGACAGTCTGTGAGCTGAAACGGAAGGATGGAACGGGGGCTCTTTCTATGCCATACGTACGACATATCACAGATGGTAGTTTACTGGCATGAGAGGTAGTTTCTGCCTGAGGCATTAATATCCCAACCAGGCAAGTCAACATGATCTGCTGCGATGGGATAGACTCACTCACCAATGGACCTAAGTCATGATGCTGTCTCAATAATATGTCTAGCAGGCTTAGACAGGGATGTCTGACAATTTACAGCCTCAATTAGAGAAGTATATTACTGAGAACTCCGAATGACATCATCACCGATAGCCAATATATAAATGTCCAGTGCATAGTATTAACTGCTGCGATCATGACAGGCCGAATCAATAACGTCTGCAGGTGCTCGGAGACTTGCGCCCAATATCCGGATGATATAGAACCTAAAACTCAGGTCAGATCATATGTTCCGATGAAGAAGATGCCAGATATACTCCGTAGGCAGTAGGCAGTAGGCAGCCGAGGCAATGAAGGTACTAGATCGATCACACGCAACGAAGATCCAGTCTGCTAAACCCAAAGACAAACCTTCTGGCATATCTGAATGCAATACGCTTAGCATCGGGATCCTACTGTCAACTCTGCACACTAACATCGAGGCTAATAGCCAGGCACATCGCCGATCACAATGCTCCATTCAGGTCTATAGGTATAATGAAAGGAGAAACGTCATTAGTTACAAGGGTAATTCCCGGTCTGGCCCCGTCTCCATGATGCCTGGTACATTCCACGTCGGGGCCGCGACTATTCACCGGGTATGCAAAACGCCACAGAGATATCAAACGGGGTGAAATCAACACAATCAAACAATTAGAGAAGAAAACGGAACATCTCGACCATCGTTGGTATGTCACAAGGATAGATGAATTAGAAATCGTCATATGCCACTCCCATCTGTACAACTCCGGAGCCAACACCATCAAGGAAATAGAAGTGCAAAGAAAGAACCTGATCTGCGCTGGATCCAGGAAAATCAATGACAAAACCAGTCCCATAAAGAAGAATTTGGGACGGCGAGAAACGACTGAGAATGATGGATATGCTGTCATACCAAGACGCCGTCAGATGTCGGCTTCGGCCTGCAACGCGGCTTCTCACGGTCAAGGCCGGTGCCAGCAAACAAAAACGAATGAACAAATCACTCTGGCATGGTTGGAATTTGCCTGGTAATTCTGGGTGTTCCCCAAAAGCAAGCTTTTGATCGGGGCTGCGTGTTGTCCGAGTCGAACCTCGGTGGCCCAGTCGTGTGCGATTCTCATGTCAACGCCCTGAATGAAAGGCGGCCAGATAGGCGACATGCTATCTCGTATTAAAAAGCGCGAGCTTCTCAACGGGCAAAGAATAAAAAATCTCTATCGAACTGTCCAACAGTGGTCAAGTCATAGCGATGCGTTCCTCCTCCGGGTATAATGCCAGCCCTTCAGCTGATAATCTGCCGGGCGCCTTCTTTACCCAGCACACCGGGCTCCTGGGGCTTGGGGCTCCTATCGCGCCCCTTCTTCCTGCTGAGGAAGGCGAGCATGCCGCTATTGGAGCCCTTCCCCTTGACTGACCCGGTATCGTAGCCTTCGGCAGGCAGGGTGGAGCTATGATCCGCAAGCTCGCTCCAGCTACCCGCTTCTTCCAACACCATCTGTACCCCTCCGCCCTTGCTTTGTTTCCGGGTCGCGCCCCGCGGGCGCACGGCAGTCGGTGGCAAGGGACGGTGGAAGGGCGGGGCCGGCGGTGGGGGTGGAGGAGGTAGCGAGGCTTGCGAGGTGGGGGTTTCGCTGAGAGGAGACGGGGTGTCAGGCTGAGTCAAGTGACTGACAGAGCCATCGTTTCGGAGAGGAGGCGAGTTTCTGGAGAGGTCGGGCTGTGAGACTTGTCGGGAATGCGTTGACGACTGCGTTTGGTGGATCGGCAGGCATTCTTCCGGGTTTCTGGCCAGGGTCAGCTAAAGCCACAAGACAAGATAGGCAAGGAGAACTTACGTTGATGCTGCAATCGCATCCGCAGCGTTGCTGGTGTTGGTTAGCACGGCATCCCCATCTCCGTTTGCTTGGAGACCAACGTACCCTACGTAGTTCACCTTTGTATAATCGAAGGGCTCAAACATCGTCTCAATGAGACGATGCAGTTCGTCCTCGCGGATTTCCTTAGCCGTCGCATCCTCCCGCAACTCGGCTCTCGGTTTTTGCCGGCGAGCTCTGGCCTCGAGCGGCGCCTCCTCCAAGAGTAGTTCCTCCAAGTCATATGTGGCGTCAAAGTTGGTCTTGTCGCTGGACGGACGGAACACGGGCGGGATCTCCTTCGCCTCCAGGGCAACAAAGTCGAGGTCGGCGAAAAACATATGCGAAGTGAAGCTCTCAAAACTGATCGCACCAATTCGCTTCGACCGATCTCTTTCCATAAACGCCGACATTGCTCGGAGGCAGGGAACGGAGACCGCGGGGTTGGTGACGTAGTACTTTGGTTGCGCCTTTTTGATATTTTCGCTGAGCACGTCCTGGCTCCGACCTTCGAACGGGCGCTACAGGAGTCAGCAATGAACCAAACCGTCAAAAAAGTGAAGTGACATACCTTGTTGTAGATACACTCGTAGAATGTAACTCCAAGTGACCACCAATCAACTTCGCAATAGTATCCGCCTCCTTCATACACTTCCGGAGCGAGATACGCCAGTGTTCCCGATTTGCTTGTGAGAGGTTTGCCGGGCCGAAAGTCGGAGGCGACGTTCTGTCCCGCAGAGGTCAGTTTCGAATCATCAGATCGCATGCGACCGGCAGACTTACAAAATCGGCCAAATGAACATGCCCCTCCGAGTCAAGCAGAATATTGTCCGGCTTGACGTCACGATGGATAATTCCCTGCGAGTGAATGTACCTCAGAGCGCAGCCCAGCTCGGCTATCCAGAATCTCACTGCCTCCTCCGTGAAACATTTCCGCGAGATGTGAAAACGGAGGTCACCGCCATTCATCAAATCCACCACAATGTAACTTCTCAATTATCAGTGACTGCGGACGGATGATGGGGATGTCGTGTTGGGAGAGCTATTGCAGGACGCACATATATTCAATGTCTTGGAAGCTGTATCTCAAGTTGCAAAGGAAGGCATGGTTGAGGTGCTCGAGCATCCGCCGTTCACGGATGATATTTCGTACGCTTTCCGACCGGACAACTACCCAAGAAACGAGCATCTCATGTCAGCGTGCATTGAGGCCCTCGATCGACAGCCACATACCTTCTTCCTTCCGAATATATTTTAGCGCAAACGTCAACCCGGTGTCTTTCTTCTCCACGATGCGAACCTTGCCGAACGCACCCTTGCCAACCACCCGCAACAAACGAAACTGATTCAAGTTCACTGCGCCACTGTCAGCCCCTCCGCCGCCTATTATTGTCTGCCAACCCGATACGTACACTCATCGGTGGCGGCCACCTGTTTCCCTTGCGAGTTTCCCATTTAGACAGTTGTGTAACCACAGACGTTGGAGATCTTGTTCTCGGTCACCAATAGCAACATCCCACTGGAACCACAGTACTCTCGACGTTGGAATATGGAGTGCGAGGGGTGGGAGTCGAGAGAAATATCGCAGAGGCGAATCGAGAGAGGAGAGGGAGTGGTCGAGGGGGAGTAGGGGATGGATGGGGGGTCGAATTGATTGAGGGAGGTCGTAGGAGAGAAGGATAGGAACTTTATAGGCGATGAAGATGAGGTATGAACATGCAGACCTAGACAGGATGAGACAGGTGTTAGTTAGGAGGAAATAATTGCGGGAAGAGTGCAGAGGTCTATTGAGACGGGGGAACGTGGGCGGAGGGGCTCATTTTCCCGATTCGCAAAGGAGATAGATAGCAGCAGACTTTGGGAGGAGTGAAACATACCCCAATGAAGAGCGGTGATGGCAGGAAGTAAAGGGAAGGGGGAAAAAAAAAACGTAGAGAGAGTTCTTGGATGGAAGACAAGTATGAAAAGTCCCGACGAGGACAACCAAACGGAGGCCTGGTCGGGGGGGAAGCGAGTGAGAGAGAGCGCGAGAGCGTGAGAGGGAGAAGGGGGGGCGGAAAAGAGCAAGTGGAATATGGGATGGAATTCCGAGTAACAAGTACTAGCAAGCAGCGGCAGCACAGCAGCAGCAACAGCCAAAAGGTAAGAGAGGAACGGGGGCAGCCCCTAAGACGGAGAAGATGATGAGTTAAGTTAGTTACTTTTCTGACCAGCAAGGCGGGCCGAAAGTAGTCGGTCGCCTGTACACTAAAACTACCGCGCAGAAAGTTCCCTTACTCGCCCAGTTGGCCCTGCTGACGAAACCAACCAGGATGGGGCCCAGGGACTTTGCAAATGATGATGGTGATGGAGATTGAGGTGTGATGTTTTCTTTAATTCTTGGGTTTTTCTCTAACTTACCTTTTTATGATTTTTGTTCTTTTTGAGTTTGGTCTTGTTTTGCTTCTTCACGGTATTAACTTTCGTTCTGGAACCCAGCCAGAAGGCATACGACAATGCAGAAACCTCCAATGCAAACAGAAACAAGAGGAGGGAAAGGGGGAAAGAAAATTGTATGGAAGAGGAGAGAGATAGCGAGACGAAGCGATAGAGGGAAGATGAGCTGTCCCCAATACGAGGCGTAATGGCCCAGGTGACTTGGATTAAACTATGGGGTTCAACCGGAGGGGTTCTTGGGTCGGCACTGGGTAAGCGAAGTCCAAAGTCTGGAGAAATCCAAGATGAAGCGATGGATGGAAAACCTTCGTGGCTTGGAACCGGCTACAGGGTAAGACACGGTGTATATTTACAAGCTCTGACCAGTTTAAAACCTCTACAAAATAGACTTATCTTGACTAGCAAGAAGAGATGTGGAAAGACATAATATGAAAACAAAATGAGAGAGAAATAGCGGCGGTGAGGAAATGGATTAGGGTATACGGAGTGGAGGATAATTAATACTACCAAATAGTAGAAAAAGAAAATAATAATTCTAAAAAAAAAAAGTAAAAATAAGACTTACTCAAAAAAAAATTTACCCAAGTGAAGATACTTACTACTCCTTCACTTAGTTAATGAGATGGAGTTATTCTGATGGAGACTACAGAAAAGGGGATGGTTTAAACCCAGGAGAAGTGCCGCTTGGGCCCACGAGGGAAAGGCGCGCCGGCAAGTGGAAAAAGAGATACGGAGGTAGACTATGGAGTCGCAAGGGCGAAATGCGAATGGGAGACGGCCTGGATGGAGCAAGTCAAACAGAAAAGACTGGGCCTGCGGTGGAGAGCAGCAGCTTCACTAACTAAGTTAAAAGTGGTGGACGCCGTGGGTGACATCGCTAGAAGGGATGATGCGCCGAAGAGGTCTGGAAAATCTGCACCTGCAGGCAAGCAGATGGACTGCTGTACTATCTATCTCCCCTGATGCAGCAATAGTTTGTGTTTGCCAGCCTTGTCGGTCGTACTTTTTTTTTCCTTCTTAATTTTTTGAATTTTACCAACATACCAGAACCCTACTAAACCTGCACCAGGCAAGGAACATCCATCGAAGCACCTTGTTTCCTTCCCCACTGCTGCCGACCGAGAGTTTGCTTTTCCCTTAAATCCCCTGTGCGCCTCTTTGCTTCTTCCTTTGCTTGTTCTTTGTCTCTTCTCCGCCTCTTCCAAACTTTCTTCCCGTCAATACCATCTGTCTGGTATTTGGTCTTTTTTTCTCGATTTTCTTTCTCTCCCACCGCCATCCTTTCCGCCTCGTGCCTTCAACCCCATCCCAATCTGAATGGCCCCTACATGCCAGCCGAGTGGCCCCAGAACTAGTATTCCTCTGACTACATAGTACATAGTACCTCTGGCCTGGCCCATGTCAGACCTCCTGGAAACCCTTTTCTGAGGTTGTGCGTGGCTATAGCTCGTGGCCGCCACGTTTTTGATTGACCAACCGCGCGACCACTTGGCCAGTCATACCAATGGGAATGCGCTGCCCAGCCTTGGTGCTGATGAAGTGGCGGTTGGGGCCAGAATCACCACACCACACACACACTTCGTACACCATCCAAATTGCCCATACAGGTTTCGCCCGGGAGGGGTTCTATCTGGTCTGGACAGGCCTCAAGCCTCTTTCTGTCTTATCCTTTCGCCCGCCATAAGTCAGATAGATGTCCCCTATATTTCACACGAACTACGAATATTTCGCAGATCATCTGGGCTGGTTTGACTCTCACGCTAGTTGCATCTTCATCCCGGTCCAACCTGGTCTGGCGTTTCAGGTCGCCGTGGCCTGGGCGCCTGCATCGATATGATCCCGGTCAACGTAAAAGCAACCAGGGTGCTGCACTCTATCTGCTTGTGCCACGCAGCCCACGCTGGCCAATCCACTATCCCTTCTTCCCCCCATGCCTGCACTAAGGTTCTGCAGCAACTATAACGACTGCCACCATCACCTCGTATCCTTCGGAAAACAACTTGATGCATCAAAAAGCTTCAGCTTCACTTCCTCCCCAGGAGCAGGAGTCTCAATATACTGGCTTCCCAACCTGCTGATGCTTATTGATTAATCCCACCGCACGATCATCCACTTAGCGGGGCGGGTCCGACCCCCAAATCCTTTTTAGCCCAGAGATTTGGTGGACCCGGCCGCCCATCCCATCCAGCTTCGTCTCGCCAACGGTGCTGATCTTCTGAATCTAGACAATATTGAGCTTAGACTTGGCTGCGTAGGCTCCCCGACACCAAACTTAGCTTTCCCCCTACTCCGTCTCGGCATGGTGCATCCTCGCCCCGTAGTCCGCTTTCAGGATGCCACGGTCATATTCGGTATGTTCAAAGCTAGGACAGCTGCCGGATGTCTTCCCCGGTGCTATAGTTAGATTTGCTATGGCCCTAGCCGATGTTTTCCTTGCACGCGCTCGATACGGGGTACATACATGTGGATGCAAAAATAGGAGCAAAAAGATATGACAAGAGTGGGACTCGAACCCACGCCTCTTTCGAGACTGCAATTCATCCAGTTGAACTGGACAAGCTATTCACTTGAGTGCAGCGCCTTAGACCACTCGGCCATCTTGCCTTGATGACTAACTAGCCACTTTTGTGGCATATACTGCAAGGAAATAGAATCGAAGCAAATAGACCTGTCATATCTCGGAAGTCAAGATACAGTGTTGTTATTTCGACCTGTCAGTTCCGTGAGGTCTCTCAGTAATGATAATTTTCTCCGCGATCAGCCTTAATGAGAAGCGGCATCATTCTTCAGGGAAAAGCACGAGGTTATTTGTGTACGCGGGACTGGAATGTGACAGTCGCCCTGCTTTTGCCCGTGAAGTTGAGTAGTTCCCCACCCACATTTCATCTACAACTGCACTGGATACACAACACCACATGGACCCAGCCTAGAGTATAGTGTTATTCGATGGTCAAACTAATAAGTCTTCCTTTTACTGCATGCGCTATTTATCCATCCATGCGCTGTGGTGATGGATATGAAAATGTGTCTTTCTATGGTAGCCCACATATAATAAACCACAGGCATGTATATTAGTTTGTTCAAATTCAGCATACTATCCACCTAACTGCACCATCGTATGATCGAGCGAAAATAAAAGAAATAATCGGTCAATCGATCAAATACAATCATCTGTAGATTCCATACTCCCCAAAATATCCTCCAAACCCAGAGTACAAAACCAACACAACATATTCCCATTTACAATGATACCCCCCTTCCATCATGATCCCCAATAAGATACCAACAATGCGAAGCAATCAATATCAACAGGCAAGATGGCCGAGTGGTCTAAGGCGCTGCACTCAAGTGAAATATCTTGTCCAGCAACAGCTGGATAGCATTGCAGTCTCGAAAGAGGCGTGGGTTCGAGTCCCACTCTTGTCATAATCTTTTTTATCCATTGATTTTCATTCTTTGATCACATGTCATTCATCCCTGCCACCAGCCCCACCCCGAACCCTCTCTTGATCCGAACTTTCGGAAAAACAAGGTACTGAATAGGCAAGATGGCCGAGTGGTTTAAGGCGTCGCACTTAAGTCGTTGAAACTTTCCTGGTTTGGTTTATTAGAACTGGACTGGTAAATCGTTTGGCGGAAATGCGATCTCGTAAGAGGCGCGGGTTCGAACCCCGTTCTTGCCATTTCTTTTTTCCCCACTTTCCTCCTCCTGTTTGTTTTCTTTTATGTCTGTTGACTTTATTTTAGTTGTTATCATCGTTACTATGACATACGGACAATTATGATCATTGCTCTTCAACTCTTGTACTATTAACATATCGCGTTGTATCTATCTATCACTATTAGGACGAAAACAAGCTCAGGCCGTTCTTGGGTGTCACAACAAACACCACTACACTACTATTGCATACTTCAATTCCTAGCACCAGGTGAACATCCAGAAAAGAATAGAAATAATACAAACCCTAGATAAAATCCTCAAGTCTATATATATATATCGTCTCAATGCCATTTACTTCTGTCCCTCTCCCCCGGCTGGATGTGGACCATCCGGATAGATTCAGTCTAAGCTCGTGGGGATGTCATGCAGGGATCAATCGGGGTTAATTGGATAGGGGTCATAATGTGCAGTATTATTGATCTATCATACTATCTTGGTTATCTATGTCTTTGTGTCTTAGTACTGGTGTTTATAGTTAGGTCTGTGAGGTGTGCTTAAGTTGGATCATAATATGGGATGTATGGGTGGGGCGGGCTGTCAGTATATATTTACTCCGCGGTTGGGGACTGCATGGTACTATTGACCAGCATTGAGAATGAAGGAAAGAGGGGTACGTCACGGTATTTACCCCAAGTATATTAAAAGGATATGACTATGGTTTCTTCAAGAGAAGCGATATTTTATTCAACGAGAAAAATAAATTGTAGGTTTTAGTAGAGACGAAGGAGGGTATTTATGGTTCTTATATAACTATAATGTAACTAATAATAACCTTTTATAACTGCAAATAACTATCCAAATAACTATTAGCTGTCTTTTTTATACCCTCCTTACGCAGAATCTGGAGCCTTAATCCAATGTTGATGTACTCACATCAATACTGCTGCTACTGCTAAATGCTCATTGTATGCCCAAAAATGACAATCTTAAATATTGTATCCCTACCAACAAAACAATTACCTACTTACAATCGAAGAATCAAACAACCAACTCCCCACTCATAACCCGCACCGCACTTCCCCTCAACTCCACCGTCTCAATCTTCTTCTCACTACCAGTACTCTTCGTACTAACAGCAACACTAATATCCGACCTCCTCCCCATCTCCACCCCCTGCACAATATCATACTCGACCTTCCCCTCACCAGTATTAGTCAGAGCCAAATAACTCGACAATCCACTGGCCGCACTGCCCGTCGCCGGGTCTTCAAAGTTCCTCAACAACATCCTCGACCGGATAACCTTCTTCCCTGTCGCCTCATCATGAACCCCAGGAACATAGAAGTAAACAACAATAAGACCAGCACCTTCCCACCCCTCATCGAGGTATCCGCCTTGCGAGACAGATTTGCAGGGAATGACTTCCCCGCTCACGGGGGCTTCCGTGGCAGCCAGCGCCTCCAAGCTGGGCAATTCAACCAAGACCTGGCTCATGCCTTTGACGATGGAGAAGACGGGGAAGCTAGCATGCTTCTCCTTGGAGAGAAAAGGGGTCAGAGAAGGATGCAATCTCAGCATCTCTGACAGCGGGAACCGCGATGAGTGGATGTGCACGTTGTGTGCGATTTGAGCGGCCACTACACCGCCATCTGATGAAGGCGATACGCGAGAAATGGCGAATGGACCGGCTTTTGTGAGAAGAGTTGTGACATCTTTCCTGTCGGGCTCTTCCGGAGAATGCTGCAGGAACCAGGAGACTGCGCCGATGGTGGGGTGGCCGGCGAAGGGGAGTTCTTCATCTGTAGTGAAGATGTCGATTTTGCGGACGGAGGGGGTGGCGGGGTCTGTAGGGTGGATAAAAATGGTTTCAGAGAGGTTGAATTCACGGGCGATGGTTTGTTTTTGGGATTGTGTGATGGTGTTGTTGGTAGGGAGGAAGACCACGCCCAGCGGGTTGCCGGAGTAGGGGGTGGTGGTGAAGACGTCGAGGGTGAGGAAGCGGAGGGATTGAGACATTTTGATTGTTGATACTATATATTCAATGGGGGTAGATGCGATTGCATTTAAGGGTTGAGAAATGAATGGGACCATGGACGGTGCCGAAGTATACATATAACTGGGAGGAGAAAAGTGTATGAGTCATGACGTGAAGGGATTGGATCAGGCGATGGTGGGGAATCTCCACGCCCTCCGAATAGCATGCGGATATCCCAGGAACCATTCTTCTCCAGCTCGGTTAGAAGTGATGGCTCCACTAGAGGCTGCAAAATGCCGGCACTTGTGGATGGGGTTTGATTTGACAGTTTGGATGCCAGAAACTTCTTTCGGTGTGCGGCATGTTCTCCCCGGTGCTTGCACGTGGAATGCTAACCACGTCTGTTGGCGGGGACTTTTAGTTTACTGGTGTGATGCATGATATGCTTGGAATGCAGTAGCAGCTGATCGCATCTTAATTGTATCTTCAGTAGCGACCTGGGTAGATCCGGCGTGAATCAGCAAGTTACATTGCAACCGCTACTTCCATTAGGAATGCTGCAATGTGCCCCACGACATCGTTGACAGGAATCTCAATGCCTTGTAAGCATCTAGACCCATGATGTAGTTTTCAGCTCAGAGACTACCGCAGATTAGAGTCCCTTGCTTTTCGCAGGTCCTGGGAATTGTGCGACCACGTGTCTCTTGAACCATTGCTCGTCCCAAGCAAGGGGAAGTCTGTGGATGGCATACGCTAAAGACCCGGCACCATCGACTGACCCACCAGACGAGCTTATTTCAGTAGTCTGATGTTGCCAGATCAGCTGTAAAAGAGTGAAATCAAAACTAAGAACTGAACTTGAGATTGGATGGTTGCCTACTCCAACATTGAACTTCAAGCATTGAGGGAAATGCATAATAGCAAAGGGCCTTATAGCGCTGCCTAGCATAATCAGTGCCTAGGAATGCATAATTGCTTCTGTTGCGCCCGAGTAGTCTAGGTGTACAACACAGAATCTAGTGCTCACATGGCTCGGGCAACAGTTATGTTGGCTAAGAAGGGATGGTGAAGATGCCCATGTTTCAAGCAAACAATCGAGACTTTCTACAAGAATTTGTATCATATAGCAAAAGCTACAGATAGTTGCCTGAAACCACGGGTTGTTCGGTAAGAAGTGAAGTTGATTTCCTGTTTGAGTAGGCGAGAGGTAGCTTGACTATGTGAATGCTCTGACACCACGTAGGCAAGCTTGCCTGTCTAGGTAACTCTTTAGTAGGAGAACTACCTAGCTAGTTGGTTTCAGAAGCACTTACCTCATGCTTAGTTGCCTGTTGTGCATGAGTCAGCATCACAGCCCCATGACGAGATAGCGTTGATGACGAAGTATCGTCGAAGAGGCATAAAGGCAGGCTGTGCAATAGTACACTGCTGAGGAAGACGTCAAAAGAAGAAAGATACACTTGTTTCATGTCTAGGTTTGCCACGAATACACGTAAGGAGGCGAGAGGATACCACATAACTCTGATAAGCTGAGCCACGGCTGTTGTCGAACCTGAGCGGGACCGACACGTTGTTCGATCACATTTCTGATGTCATTCGCGACATGATCTATAGGAATTTTGACCACTCACTGCAAAGTCTGTTATCTCGAGAATTTCACATCAGATCCTAAACAAGTAGGCACTGGGATGATGTTGGTTGGACAGCCGAGACTCTACTTCATTTGCAGATAATGTAAGGGATGATATAAGTAGGTGCGGCTCGTATTGGTCGTCGAAGGCTCAAGAAGACGCTCACTGAAGCAGAGCCAAGTATAACCAACAAGGCTTGTCCAATGCTTTGTGGTGACCAAGCAAGCCGTGGGGATCGACGCGGCTCCTGGTCCATCTTATGTACATATACGAGAGGGAGTTTGCGGTCTGACGGCTTGCAGTGGCTCATTTGTATCAGAATGCCGCAGGGGATGTCTCTACTCGCGGGCCAGAGAGGAATGTGTTTCGCGTGGGAGACAGTGCGATCTGTTTGTTGTGAGGGGAGTCTGATCGACACCGTGATATCATATCTAACTGGCTTGTCATATTCTGCAGGCTACGCTGTTCGCTTAGCTCAGAATCCGGCTCAGGGCGTTGATCCCGTCTGGGTTACGACCAGCAAAGTCAAAGTTAGGTTTGAGGATGGGATGAAGCGTGAAGAATGGTGAGATAATGGTTTAATCCCAAGAAGGTAGACGGGTGGATTGCCGGGTGAATCCTCCAGTAGCCCTGAACTGCTGGACACGAGGAAAGTATATCGAGATACTGTGATGCTAAACAGAAGTAGAAGGTGGCAAAGTGCTGATCGTTCGATCTGACACGCTCTCCCCACCCAACAGACTCGGATTTCGTCCCATCGCTGTTGCGGGTAGGGATCATCAAGGCTCCACTTGGTAGCAGGTGGAAAATAGCCATGAATTCTGGCATTCCTTCGTCGGAGAGTGATAACTTCCGATGCCTCGGGATAGATTCTGCTTAATCTAACATCGGTGTTTAGATTCCGGAAGACGCCATTGTAGAAGCTTTAAAATATCCGAAGTGATTCTTAGTCTAGCAGTTAGTCGAAGCGAATGGAGAGATAATATCTACTATCTCCATACGAGGGATTTACTAGGGATAGCGACCGACCACGCAGTACTATGGTGGTAGGAGAATCGATCGAGATCGCCCGGTCACACGTGGTCGCAGCGCCACGAGCAAACCGATAAGATCATGGTCTGGTGGAGGAACCTAGTAGGTAACAGTTTCGCCAACCTCTAACCGGACTGGTAGGGCGACCACTCAGGCCGATCTTGCCTGTGCTTGGTCTGCCCACGCGAAGAACGTTGTAGACGACTACGAAATTGGGGTGGGAGTGAGCCACAGCAGGAATTGCTGACTGAGGGAGGGAGAAAGAGGGGAAGAAGGAAGGGGGTGGGGACTTGCAGCCGAGCAATAACCGAATCATATTTGTTGCGAGGGGAGGAAGGTATCTTGAGTTCGAATCTGACCACAATAGTGGGCAAAAAGGTTTAGAGTGTTTCAGCGGGATGCGGGAGCAAGAAGCACCGCGACCAGCACAAGGCCGATGGAAGCAGGATTGCGATGGGGGCCAGAATGAATGCATATGCCCGGGTGGGCTTAGCATGCACCAGCCCTGACCAGCGGGCTTGCTGACGTCCTGTGCGGAGATCCCCCATCGTCGTTTCGTATTCCTTCTGATTCATCGCAACAGGAATTAGAAGGATCTGGCCTGCCTGGGAGGATTGCGTCGAATATGCTGCAGCATACTACTTACTAACTTACTTGTCCACAACCCCTGTCGTTTGTTTCCTTGCGTCTAGTGGATGACCGGATCTAGCTTATTATCATCTCTTGCCGCCGAACAAACAAGAGATACTTCTTCCATCGTCATCGCAATTCATCCCAACGTCGAAGATTCAACATCACCATCTATCTACAAAGAGAAACGAGAAACAATAAAAAGAGTGAAAAAAAGCGACAAACACAGACAGACAAAGAAAGAAAGAGAGAGAAATACAGAGTCAGCTCGATCATCGTGATGGAACAACGCAGTTCCCCGGCCAGATCGCTACCCTCGCGAAAAACCACCACGACTCCCCAACTCAGTTGCGAACTCTGCCGCAAGCGCAAGGTCAAGTGCGACAAGCTCACCCCATGTACCAACTGTGCTGCCTCGGGCACGGTCTGTGTCCCCATCTATCGCACACGACTGCCCCGAGGCCGACATGCTACTCGTCCGCGTCGAGTGTCATCGCCTCCGCCCACATCAGCTCCCGGGGACACCGATCGGATGATCCAGCCCACGGTCCCCGTCAATGAGGATCTCCAGGAACGGATACACCGATTAGAAGCTCTCATCCAGGGGATGAGCTCCCACTCCCATACTCGAACTCCGTCCGCAACTTCGCGGGAACAGGTGGGCTACACCCCTGCTATTTCAGCCTCGCGGAATGCTGACCTCGGCAATGACCAGTCCGTCCAATTATCCGACACTTCCACATTCCAAACGGCTCCTAATCCTAATACTTCCCCCATCCTAAATAGTTCTATTGTTTCTAAGCGTCTCATGTTGCAACGGCCCGATCAGTTCTGGGCCGACTTGGTGGATGAAGTAGGTCTGCCAACCTGGACCAGGAAGGAAAGAATGCTGACGCGGACACATGCAGATTCACGGACTCCGCGATGTGGTCGAATCATCGCTGGCCGGAGGACAAGAGGGCCCGTTCCCTTCCTCCGACTCAGCCAAGGCCGAGCCACCCAATGATGACGGAATCGGGGTTCTTGGCCTGGGGGCTAGCAATCCTTCTGCAGCCCTACGGTCCATGAGTCCGCTGCATAACCCGGTGGTCGCTCGTCAGCTCTGTGAAGTGTACCTCCAACAAGTCGACCCCGTGATCAAGATCCTCCATCGCCCGTCGCTGAACCGATGGATGGTTCAGGGCGAGCCCTATCTGGCGTACGCCGATGGCCACCCTTCAGTAGAAGCACTGGGTTCCGCCGTCTGCTACTCGGCTATTAGCAGCATGACGGAAAACCAGTGCTCAGTAATGTTTCATGCCACCAAGGCAGATTTGTTGGCTGAGTCTCGTGTGGCCTGTGAGACGGCCATTGGCCGTGCGGGTTTACTCACCAGCCGCGATATTACCGTTCTTCAAGCGTTTATTTTGTATCTGGTATGAATCAGGCCTGACCCAAATAGAAGCAAAATAAAACTGACTTTCTCTAGGTAGCTAGGAGATCGGAAGATCGGACTCCAGCTGTCTGGACTCTGATCGCGCTGGCTGTACGAATCGGAAAAGGCCTCGGTCTTTACCTAGATCCTGAGACAGAGACCTTTTTCGATCAGCAGATGCGAAGGCGCCTGTGGTTTACCATTTGCCTGATGGATTTGCAGGCCTCATTCGGTCAGGCATCCGAGCCACTTATCAGCGTCGACGAGTCTGCATCCACAGCTCTTCCTCACCACATCAATGACTCGGACTTCGATCCGACCACTGCGGCACACTGCGACCCCAACCGGGAGGGTCTGACAGACACGACCTTTGCGTTGGTTACCTACCATGCACAGCGAACGGGCCGTCTTCTCAACTTTGCTCAACACGATCGCAAGGTTGATGGGGGCATTTCAACACCCGCATCCTCTACCTCCGGCACTTCAACATCCCGCACCCGCACATGCGACCCCAATTGGCCGCAACAGCAAGCCCGGCACTTCGAACAAGAAGCACTGCGACTCCTTCATTTCTGTGACCCTGGCACCTCTGCGTACGCGTGGTTCACCTGGCACGGGACGCAGAGTCTAATCGCGACGGTACGACTGGCAGCCGCACGACCGCTTCAGTGGCACGGACGAGCACCGCCGCCTCGCCGCGAGGGTAACACCGAACTGCTGCGTCTCTGCCTTCCCGTGCTGGAAAAAGCGCAGCTCATGCACACGGATCCCCGCGCCGAGGGCTTCCGCTGGTACGTGACAATTCCCTGGTACGCACTGGCCATGGCTCTGGCGGAGTGCTATGTGAGCAGCGACACTGCCCTGGTGCGGTACGCCTGGCCGCTGCTCGAGTCGTCGTACCTGCAGCATGAGGCGACGCTGGGACGGTCCCTCGGCGGCCCGTTCGGGCAACTCATGCGGCGTATGAGAGAGAAACTGGCGGTACCAGCCGCACTCCCACCGAGCAGTCTCCCTAGCACCAACTGGAGCCCAGCCACTCCGCCAACATTCCCGGGCGTGCCTCGGCCGCAGAGCTGTAATGATGATCGACATGTGTCCGGTTGCTCTTGGCCGGTGCCCACCGGATCCACCCCGCCTGCGGATCTGGGGATACCGTCCCTCCTTCCGGTATCCACCTGGGAGGCGCTCTCGCCGCCGTCGTTGGACAACCCTTCGCTCTTCGGGGTACCTCCTACGACGACGGCGGTAGCGGACGGAATGGATCCGGGGGCGGATATGATGTGGGAGGAGCTGTTCTCGGGGATTCCGTTCAATGAGATCGCGGGGCCGGATACGTTCTTTTTTGATATGAACTGGGGGAGTTAATAGTAGCTGGTGTGGCTTGTTTAGTGTTGTTTTGCTAGTAACGATGATATGAGTGTGAACGAAGCGAGAATCTGAATCTAGACGCACTTGGCGATTCCTTTCGGACAAGACATGAACC